TTTGTCATGGAGGTCCCCAATAGCTGATGATCATCAGAAGCATTCTCCGGTGAGTGCCCGACCCTCCTGTTTGGGTGCGGCTGAACATATGCCAGAGGCTCGTGAGAGGGATAGTCCAGATGCCCCGAATTCGGATAGTTGTTACAAGTACTTGTAGTATCTTGTAGTATCTTCACTCGTTTGGGTGATGTGCGCCGCTCTGTGCTTCACCAACATGGTGCCAGGTCCTTTATCAGTCCCAGAATGGCCAAGTGGCTCGTGGAAGCTGCAGGCGGAGGGAGAATGAATCGCGACGAAAGGGGTGGGATAATGGGAAGAAAACCGCATGTGAGGCAGAACGAGTAGATCATGCTACTGTCCCTTGCAAAGCAATTTTCATGGGCCAGGACCTTCCCAGTGACCGAACTTCAGGATTGGTATACGTGACAAAAGGGCCACCCTGGGGAAAGTTGTTTGTAATGCTTTTAATAGTGGCCGTATAGTGGCCGTATGACTTGGTGTCCTCCTCCTCCTCCTTCTCCTCCGCCTCCGCATCGTCCTCAACCGCCAGCTCCGGATGGCAGTGTTCTCCGCCGGACCTCAACCGCGAGTTCCGCTTGGCGGCGTTCCTCGCGGGACCTCAACCACAAGCACCCACAAACACACACAAACACACAACCACAAACACACAGCCACAAACACACAACCACAAACACACAATCACAAGCACAACCACAAACACACAATCACAAGCACGCAATCGCAAACACACAGCCAGAAACACACAATCACAAACACAAAGACACAAACACACAACCACAGCCACAAGCACAAACACACAACACACACAGCGACAAACACCATCACAGACACACAAACACACAACCACAAACACACAATCACAAACACACACAGACAGAAGCACACAATCACAAACACAAAACCACAAACAAACACAATCACAAACGCACAACCACACAACCACAAAGACAATCAGAAACACACGCCCACAAACACAATCACACAAACACAAACACGAGCCACAAACACAAGCACACAACCACAAACACACAGCCACAAACACAACCACAAACACACAGCCGCAAACACAAACACACAACCACAGGCAAGCAATTACAAGCACACAGCCAGAAACACACACAACCACACAGGCACAAACACACAACCAGAAGCACAGAATCACAAACACACGCACGCAAACACACAACGACAAACACCATCACACACAACCACAAACACGCAAACCACAAACACAATCACAAACACGGCCACAAGCAAAGCCACAAACACAATCACAACCACGCAGCCACAAACACACAACCACCAGCAAAGCCACAAACGCAAACGCATAACCACAAACACAAACACAACCACAAACACACAATCACACGCACACAGCCACAAACACACAACCACACACAACCACAACAATATGTACAATATATATAATTACCTGTGTGTGTGGCGTTTTGCGTGCCAGGCGGCCACAGGGTACTGTAGCACTTTTGGATGCCAACTGGAGACCCTGGCGACGCCCCAACGCGAACTCCCCAACACTACAATAACAATCCCAAGCCCGAGGAGACTAACTGCGTGAAACACCCCAGTTCAAACTACATGACGATAGTTTGTCTTTATCCTTCCACAATCTTGAAAGAACCTCCCGAGGTGGTGAGGGCATTCTGCAGAAAGCCTGGACGTATACCACCATCAATCTTTGCGAGTACATTGCCCGTAGGGAGAACCTTAGGGTTGCCCTGATCCGGGCGCAGCAAGGAGCCTACAGCGGACCCCCCGCCGACGAAGCCAGCTCAGCGTGCCAAAGGTTTTTTTAGCTAATCCCAGCGACTGTCCAGCCGGTGTAGAAGGACTGTCCTTTGGGCTATGCAGGGCTGCTTTGTATGGATGTACATGGTTCCAAATCAACCCGCCTCTTGATCTCATTCCGGACAACCGGGCCCGGATGCGATGAGGTGACTACAAGGATCTCGATGCCAAGAAGAGTGAGGAGCCCCAGCGAAGGCCTCATAGCTATGAGACATCGGATGAGGTATGGCCTCGAGATGATGGAGAGGAAACCGATGATCTCAAAGAAGAACTGCGCAGAAAGCGCAAGAAGTTGGAAATGAAGCCCTTCGTCAGGGAGAATCGTGAGCGTCCTGCCCACGAGCGATCTGGCATTGGTCGTGGAGAACTTCCAGAAGATCCTCGAAAGAATAGGCCAAAGCACAGCGAGGCTCCGCCGCCCAAGCGTCCTCCAGTGCCTGTCGCCACAAGAGGCAGGGAGAGATGTGGAGACGGAGCTTGCACCCATTCTTGCATCCGCGCGACATCAAAGTGCTCAGCCGTCTGAGCCCGATTCAGGAGCGATGCCGCAGACTCAGAGCCAGGTGTTTCGGGACAAACGCTAGCGCGACAGGTTGCTACTCCATCCGGCTCCCCGCACGGATCGCGAAATTGCAGCAAAGATGCTTAAGGTATGTAAGTCCGGCCGGTTCGGCATTATCTTCCAGCGCATGGTGGAGGGATCCCATCTCTCCGGAATCGGGATGCCCTGTGGACACATAATGCTAGCCACCATCTTCCGCCATTTCCAGTTGGAAAAGGATAGGATAGGTATGCTTGGTGAGCGCAATCTCTTGACCCTGCGGTTGAAGGGAAGCAAAACTGAAGACCTCATCACAGTCCAAGAGAATTATGGGTATATCCTAGCAGCCATCCCCACGGAAGACCTTCCCAGGGAGACGACGCTGTTCAGCCACCTCTTGGATGAGTTAGAGCAATGGCAGGCCATTGACAGAGCGATCTGGCTTGTGGCCGCTAGTTCCAAAGACAATGTGGAGGCTTCGACTTTACGATTGCAAAAGTAGAGGCAGCGCATTCCTTGACCAACAAAAATCTGAGATTCAAATTGTCGGCCTACAAGGCCGAAATAGATCGATCAGAGAGACTGTCTAATCAAAAAGAGTGTCCTACAAGAGTGTCCCGCAAGACTTTCCCACAAGAGTGACCTACAAGAGCGTTTCGCAAAAGTGTCCCACAAGAGTGTCATATAAGAGTGTCCCATAAGAGAGTCCTGCAAGAGTGTTCCACAAGAGTGTCCGACAAGAGTTTCCTACAAGACTGTTTTGCAAGAGTGTCCTACAAGAGTGTCCCACATGAGTGACAACCAAGAGTGTTCCACAAGAGTGTCCCGCAAGAGTCTTCCACAAGAATGTCCGACAAAAGTGTCCTGCAAGAGTGCCCCACAAGAGTGTCTTACAAGAGTGTCCCACAAGAGTGTCCTACAAGAGTGTCGCACAAGAGCGTCCTACAAGAGAGTTTCCCACAAGAGTGAGTGGCATACAAGGTGTCCCACAAGAGTGCACAAGAGTGTCCCACAAAGGTTTCCGAAAAGAATGTGTCCTACAAGAGGTTCCCCCAAAAGTGTCTCCTGCAAGAGTCAAGAGTGTCAAAGATTGTTTGGGTGTTTGTTTTCTAGAACGTGTTTGCATTCGGTTACGCGGGTTCCATTTTTTCAGGTGTTGGCTTGGACGGATCGGAGCTCGTGCAGCGGAGAGACAAGAAGGATCAGCCGATGCTTGGATCCTGAAGAAAGCTTTTGTCCTACTCAGACGGACCCTCAATCCCAACCATTCGGTATCATTCCACGAAGAAGTGGCTATGGTAATCTATGGCACATAGCTTCTAAAGGCTTACCCAGAGGCTCATGGACCCTTAAACAGCTACATGTTGGTTCGGTCTAAACATCCTACTTTCTGAGCCTTTGGGTACAAAGGAAACGTGGATCTCCTGCCCAACCGAACCCTTGGGGATTGGGGACCCCGGTTCGCGGCTCTGTGGCTTTGGCACTCGTGGAGAACAATCCCAATCAGTGGAAACGTATCTACACGCATGATGAAAAAAACAATCATCCATATGTAACATATACCTAGAACTTCGTTACGGCAATAATAATTGCCGTTTTCATGAAACGTCGCCTTTTTCCGTTCTGCGGCGTTCTTCCATATTGATCTCATGGGGACGGCGTTTCTTGATGAACTGTGGCAGTTTCGGTCAGTTGACAGCAATTTTGGTCCACACATCAAGGCGCCTCAAAGAGTCAGTGCGTTTTGGTGCAGGCGAGTATGAAGACATTGTAGGGCTTTGCATGAAAGGCAACTGAACGTAAAAGGCGTCTAATTATATCAGCAAATTCGCATAGTCCTGTGAAGTGGAAAGGGCAGCTGATGGAAGTGTCACATTCTGGGTTTTCGTTGGTTTTCGGGAGTACCTCGACCTTTTGCGTGGCATTGCAGAAGATTTAGCGTTTAAAGTTACGGCGTTCTTACCCGTACTTGCGGCGTCTTTCCCCGTACTTACGGCGTTTTTCCCCGTACTTGCGGCGTTTTTGACCCTACGTCGTTCCCCGTACCCTGTCTATAGGGACACTCAAGGTGGCAGCAAGACTTGTCACAACCGATCCTTTCAGCCATTGCATGATCAAAATGTGAACAGATCCTGCCGTGATGTCAATCGAGACCATAGACAAGGGCTGCAACATCTTGAGAAGTGCTACCATGAGGCTTGAAAACGATGAGCTCGACTTGCAATTGAAAAAGGAGAAGGCAATTTCAGGGTATGGACGGACCAAAACAATAACCTCTTTGGTAGATCAATCAACCAAAACGTCGTTTCTTCTTTTGTGACGGCGTTTTCACTTCTCTGACGGTGTTTTCACTTTCCAGGGGGTGAGCTACGGCAGAAAAAATGAGTTACGGCAAAAAATATTGCCTCAACAGCCTACGGCAAAAATTATTACCTCAGGAGGGTCTAGGTATACATGTCAATACTACGCGACAACATGCAACAACCAGAGGTTTCCAAGCACAACCAAAAAAAAATGGACCGCATCCTCCACGCAAATCGCGGGAACCGATGCGCCGATCGATGCGCTGAATTCATGCGCCCCGCTATGCGCGTCGCTGCAATCGAGGATCCATTTGTCCCGGTTCCCCTCCATGGCGGCGGAGCGCTTGGCCTTCTTCTTCCAGTCTTTAGCATGGATCCAGGCACTGTTGAGGGGGAGACTTGCTTTTATACAGTGGTATTTTTGTATTTTTTTTGGCCGTTTTTCCCTCAAAACTAAAAAAGTCAATTTGGATGCAAAATCAATTTTCAATTCTCGTTTACCTTTGAAGAAATGTGTTCATGTCATGCTTCACCTAAGCAGCAGCGCACAGAGGCAAATCAAGTAACGCACGCTAGATATTAATAATCTATCATTCACTGCACCGTTTTTGGAATGTGGTTGCTGTTTCAAAGCTCTAACTTTTCAATGAGCACCTCAAACTCGTTTGAGCCTTCCACATTCCTCGTCTACGCACAAGAAAATTAATTTTCACATTTGTGAAGATATTTGGCTTGCTCGTTGCTCCTTTGGGCCATTAATCTCACCTAGTGTAACTTCAGGGTGCGTCGCCCCAGGTGCCCAGGCCTTTGGCTGCTTCGGCCAAGGCCTGTGCACTTGTCATGACGCTACGTGAGAAGGATTCTGCATACAAGAAATGGAAGCGCTTATGCGACAAGTGGACTCATGAGTTTCTGTTTTGAGCCCACATGATCCTGAAGGTGGGTCATGGCTGTCAGACCAAGAGCAACCGTGGGGCATTGGTTGCAAAGCATGCAGCTTCAGCAAATGCAGCAGTAAGTTCGCTATGTATGCTGTCAGAGAGGCAGGCTCCCTGCAGCAGGAGAACTTAAAAAAATACATGCGCGTACCAAGGCTCGCAAACTCTCAATGGGTGGCACTACGCTTGGCTGCTTGGCTTCCTGGCTGATGCGGCCAGAAGCTATTTTGGCAGTGAGTCGACTAAGGTCAGCTTCCTGGCTGATGCGGCCAGAAGCTTTTTTAGCAGTGAGTCAACTAAGGTCAGCTATGGGGAAAACAATCCAAGTTTTGCACCAAAGCCCTGGTTTTCCTAACTTCAGTCAAGTCGTCATCCATGTCCAGCTCGGTATAGTGTTTGCTTTCAGCTTGGGGCTCAAATTTGAGGCTAAGTAGTTAACACTTAAAAGAGTTCAATGGCTAGCTCCTTTGCAGCGCTCATGCCTGTGACAAGTCGCGCTGAGAAAAGTTCACACGAAGAAACTCAGTTTCTGCACTTTGCAACCATGGAGCCGTCAGAGGTTGCTTCTGGCTTTTCCTTTGTTCCAAGTCCTTGACCGGGTGGAACGCACAAGAAATGCCCTACTCTGGACTTGGCAACATTTGCCTGAAGAAGCAGCGGATGCGTTGGAAGACATTGTTTTTGCTTTGGATATTTGCACCACAATCGCGTTGTCCGACCTTCACTCGCGACCAAAGCACAGAATCATGACTGCTCTTCCTGCGCGTGCGCCAGGCAAGACCCTGGCATTGAATAACTATGTCAAAAATGACTTTTGGCACGCTACTGAAGTGATGGCAGCATTGTCACAAAGTCGGGCGACTCACGACCGCTTCGACTGGGACACTATGTTGGAGACTTGGTTTGGGGATTTTGCCTTTGCAGTGCAGATCGCACCTGACTCCCTTTATTTGAAGACTGGCAACTTCAAAAGTGGGATCGTGTGGCCTAAGGCTGCAGCACGCCTTTCCAAAAAGAGCAGGCTGGGCTAACTTCGTCGCAGCAGCCGTTACTTCCATTGGCTGCTTCGGCCAAGGTTGCAGGGTTTGTTGTAGGCTTGAGGTTAAGTCACTGGCTGCTTCGGCCGGGGCTTGCTAATTAAAAAACCTTAGAAAGTTGGAAGCGGGCAAGGCGCGAGCTGACTTCTCAGCTCGAAGGTGAAAAAATCGACGACAGTGCTTGAAAGGAGAGGGCGGTTTGACCTCTCCACCCGAGCTTCGGGAACGTTCTTGAACCTCGAAAGGAGAGGGTTTTGAGAGGGCGAAACAAACATACCACTATATAATATAGTTTTGCCCATAGTTGTCCCCTCACTGCCCTCTCCACCCGAGGCTCGGGAACGTTCTTGAACCTCGAAAGAAGAGGGCGATTTGCCCTCTCTTCTCAGACTTCAAATTGCTCGTTTGCAGCCGTTTTTCACTGAAGCAAGTTTGAAAGCTTTAGCTGCTTCGGCTAAGCTACTCCACAACGGCCAAGACTCCATTATGTTGGCAGCTCAACAGGTGACCTCATTCAGGGCGTGGCCCTTCCTAAGCTCACTGATGAATGGAGCATGAAGTGGTCGGAGAAAAAGGATCTGTATGGCAAGCGCCACTTGATCGCGGTGGGCGGGCGCACAGAAGGTGGAGAGGATGAGCCAAAAATCAACGAGCGAACCAAAGATTTGCCCGAGCCTGTTTGCTACTTCTCGCCACCGCTTGAGCTGATGGAGGAGCTCCTGCACACCTTCTATGCCAAGCTGGTGCTGGACTTGAGCCCAGCTGATGGAAAGTTGGCGTGGGCATGCGTCAAGACTAGGACTGCGTACATGGGCATCTGCTACATTGACACCCATGTCAAGCTGATGGAAGAACGGCTCCTGGACCTAATGAAGATGAGCGTGAAGGAGACTGCCTCGCCATTGTTCAATGTCAACAGTGCCTATGCGCAAGCTGTGGGGTCAACGACTTCTTCATCGCAGCCAGCGATCCCGAAGCGCAAGCCACGCCCCAAGCCAAAGGTAAAGTCGGCTCCCAAGCCAAAGCCAGCTCCCAAGGGAAAACCAAAGGCGGAGGCAAAGTCAGAGCCCAAGTCGAAAAAGCCGCGTCTCGAGGCAGAGCAGGCAGATGACGACGACAATGAAGAGGAGGAAGAGGCATACGAGGAGGATGTTTGGGATCCTTTGGACGAGGGGTGAGTGGCCTTTGGCTGCTTCGGGCAGGGCCAACACGGTCTGCTGGCTGCTTCGGCCAGCGTTTTCAGAAACTTGCTGGTGCGGAAAAATTATTAGGTGTCTGCGTCTGGGTTGATAATTGAGGTCAGTCATGTGTGCTTAAGTTCGCAAGTTGCAAGTAAAGGATAATTGAATGGTTTGGCCCAAGGGAAAGCGTCCTTCAAAACGCAAATTTTAGTTGAATTTCACATTGCAATGCTGCGACGTCAAAACGCGCAGTTTTTCCATGATGATGGCAATAATGGAAAGGGTTGTGGCGAAACAGCTCATTTGGTTCAACAGAAACTGCTCAAGTCTTATCACCCTTGGAAGCTCTTGCAAAAATACAAATGCTTGAGCAAAAGCCAATGGCCACAGGCCCACAGACTTGCTACACACATTCTCATGAAGCTTATTTAGAGGCAGGTCGCAGCTGGGTGCGCAATCACTTGCAATCTGAAGACTGGGCGCTTTAAATTAAAGTGTGGCAAGCAATGCTAATTAAACTAGGTTTCCCACAGACTGTCGCCATGTGGCTGCTCCGGCCACTGGCGGCAGCCTGTGCGTGCGTGAATGAGGGAGCAGTGCAAGTGCAAAATGACTAGCCCTGCGCTATTTTCAAGTCTCGTTTTCTCATGTGAGCTTTCTCGTGGAAGCTATTGAATTTTATTTTCACCCCATGTATGTGTAAGTGAAAGATTTTCAACAAGACCAAGATAGCACACACACCTGAAGGGGAAAATGTGATCACAGGAATCAAACCATTTGGGAGGAGGAACTGATGAAACATAATGATGGCGTGCATCTTTGCCTTTTAGTGTTTTTGCGGTTCAGTCACCACAAAAATGTTTGAATGTTATTTTCTATTCTCGTTTTTGCAGCTCTTTCACTTCCCATGAAAACAGTCAAAAGCAGCCAAAAAAAAAATACAAAAATACCACTATATAAAAGTAAGGAGAGCTGCGCTCGAGCTGAGGCGTTTCAAAAGGCGGTTCAAACAAATAACAAAAACGTGGCATGGCAAAGTTCGCAAGTTCGCACAGTTTTTCTTGGAGCGTCAAGATGGAAACGCGTTTGTTGTCGTCGATCGTGTTTTTTCTCTGGAAGGTGCATATGAAGCGGTGGTATTGGGAGTGGGAAGAGGATGCATGCGTGTTTTTGAATATTATAAGGTTTGTGTGTCTTGTTTGGATGTTTGGAATATTGCGTGGGGGACGTGTTAGTTTCTTCACAGAAACGTTTTTGGAGTCCCATCCAGTGACTTCAAACCAAGATATGACAAGGTCACTTTGAAGAACCAGGTGGATGCCCTAGGGATCCAACCACCTTCTCAGAAGGTACTTGGACCCTATCCAAACCTACATAACAGTGTCTCCAATCACCGTACCTGAGGTTCGGTACGACTGAATGAACGAAAGATCACCTCTTACAGGTTCGATCTGATCGGCTTCCGATCGTGAATCTTTGGGGATTGCAGAGCCCTTGAGGAAGCTTCACAACTCAACGATCACCTCACTGAAACTGACTCTGTTGCTCTTCTCCACCCTGACTCTTTTGCTCTTCTCTGGCTGGCTGGTTTTATGCCCTTGACCAGATCCTTGAAGGACCCTGGTGGTGGCATCACCTTTCGCGCCGAGACGGACGCGCCGCTCGGCGGCGGAAGCGGAAAAGCAAATGGCGGGAACCAAGAACGATCGCTGAGATGATGACATGAAAAGCAAGAGGAAGGCGTCCCGGGGTGGTTTGGAAGTCCTTGAAGAAGAAGGCAATTACACATGACATTAGACATATCTATATCTCTATATATAATATAATAGTAGTATCAAGGAACATGTTCAACATTCTTCAATTTTTTTTGCCGGCAGATAGTATCGATAGTTTGACTCCTCCTACATCCAAGCAAGTCATTTCCATCTCACTAATTATATGTATACCTGGTTTTGCAGAACAGGTGGATGTGCATTTTCCGGAAAACTGGGTCCATCCAACTCAAGACAGCCCGGCTTCCTTAAGCAGCAACATTTAAGTCTTCAAAAGGGCAAAAAACCGCCTCGCTTTGGGCCCCGGAGGACTCATGGACCCTCAACTGCTACATGCTTGAGATCCAAAACATTCCAACACCCCAGCTTCTGAGAATCCAAAACCCGGCCTCTGAGCCTTTGAAGTCTAGACTCTGAGCCTTTGGGGCCCAAGTACGTCTTAGGAGCCCAGCTCATCAGACCTTTGGGGTGCCCCAACGCGTCCAAGGCTCACGGCCGGGATGTTTGATCCGGGCACCGTGCCGTCATTGACGCAGATCATCCCAGCGTACAACGAGGCCAGGAGATGAAGGACGACGAACAGCTCCCTTTGGTATGCCCAGAAGTTCCCCCTTTGGGCTCATGAACTACACCACCTGACAGGTTAAACCCTTAGAGCAGCCGTGACGTGGTGATTTTTCAATGATGTCATTCCGAGAGGGCAGTGGAGGTGACATCATGATCTTCGCACGCGGGGTGACCAGGTTCCTTCCAATTTCGATAGTTTGACGAACCACAAGATGTCAAAGAGTCAACTCCATGCATACTCCTGCTAATGAGAATAGTAGAATAGTTTTGACAAGTCTTAATGAACCCATGTTCTCCATACTGCTCGGGGGGGAAGGAGGGGTCAGAAGATGTCAGCAAGATCTGCACCTTCTGTTTGGGGTCTCCAATGGAATCCCCTATGACTACACTACTCCTGGATCTCCAGCCAGGAGGCCCCTTTGAAGGTCTAGGTCTATACATGATGTATTATATATAATAAGTCTATATAATGTTATATACCTGGGAAACCAAACAACCAGAAACAAACGCATGTTTCCCCAGTCCCAGCCATTTCCTATGTAAATGATTTCAATATTGGAACAACCATTTGTTTCTGGTTGAGACTGGTACCGGATGTGTCGTTTCCACCGTGGCGTGGTCATCCCGATTGACCATGTCTGTGGTTTTCATTACCGACTATACCCTTTGTGCACGTAGAGCAGTCGAACAGCAAGGCGCATGTCCGCAAGTTTGGAGTACGGTTTTTATCCAGGCTCTTCAGGTCACGACATGTGTTTCCAGGCCACTGGATGAGACTCCGAAAAGGTCACTTGAAAGAAGACTTGTTAAAAAATGTGTAGTACTTTCAAGCGGTGTGTGCCACCATGTCCCCAAGACTTTATACCACACCACCATGTACCACCAGGTCGATGTCGATCTTGTTGAATGGTCGAGTCGGTTACCCGGGCAGCTGCTCGGCTCATATCACCCAGCCCGCCGACCGTCGTCGTAGGTGGTGATCCCCTCTGTGGACTTCCTCCGCGCAGGCGCTCTGCCCGAGGACGGGGAGAGAGTCCACAGAGAATCCAAGGCGCCCAGACCATGTTTTTCGGTTCGCAGCAAAAAGGGAAGCATGTTCATCCATGTTCATCAAAGCTTCCATTGTACTGATCGCTACAGAGTTGATAGTTGGTGGAAGTGGTATTGCTGTCAAAAGCAGGGGCGGCGCATGAGGCGGGTGCCTATAGGCAGTCGGACCAGTTTCCTCGTCTTCCCAGGACGCAATGAATCAAAGTCCGGACGATCAGTCTTGGGGCCCCAGCTCCGTCGGATCGGTTAACTCGCGCGTCGTCCGAAGTTCGGAGCCTGAAATCCGAAGATCCAACAGGAGTCGCAGGTGGTGACATCCTCCACTTCCATGAATAGATTCAAGGAGTCTACCGCACTGGGCGAGTCCAGTGTCCAGTGCATTTTCTGCTACACGTGGCTGTTCTGGGTACCGAGAACTTTGTCATGACAAGGATCGCTGGGCCGCAGCCGCAGCAACCTTGTTGGTGCAGCCAAAAAGCTCTGACTGCACACCTTCGGTTGAAACAGAGGCAAAACTCGGTGCGGTAGAAACGGTGACACTGAGGGTTCAGATGCAGACACTGAGGGTCAGATGTACGAAGTCGGGTACCAAGATGTCCATGCCGTGTTTGCTAACTGGAGGCAATAATATCCCATGCGAACTAAACATCCAAGGACCCTTGGGGTATATCGCGTTCCTCATCCAAGCAAGGATGGCTTGGTGCTGTTTCATGCTTTGTCATTTTTAGTTGTCCAAAGCACTTTTGGTGGATATATCATTTGAGCTGTACAAATTCTGCTGCACTCTTGCCCCTACTGTGCTTTCAGACTAAAATAAATGTGCACACATGCAGAAAGCTTTGGTATATATAGTTTGATTTGATCCCTTGAATGGTGGACACTGTTATGGGAAAACCGACTGGTGCATCCTCTTCAAGGCCTGAATCGAGGTCACTAGCCGACACTAGCTAAGACATGTCGATCAAGTGCTCCGAGGAAACATCTGGAAAACCACCAGCAGTGATCACTTCGATTCCAGCACCCCAAAGCCATTCAGATTCACAATCCCAACAACCATTTTTTGTGGATGAACTAACAATAACACTATATAACACTTGTTTTCATATTCCCTGGATATTCCAACAGTGCAACAGGTGTGCCTTTTCGTCCATAAAACCAGCCAATAGCCAAACCTTTGCAATAGAGTTGCAAGATCCAGGTATCGGGGACCCCACAAACCCTTCCTCTTCGTACCCCAGAAAATGAGACGGTGTACTTTTTTCCATGGCTTTTGCTCTCTCTCTCTCTCTCTCTCTTCCTTCAGTGCTTCGGCACGCATGGCGTGGGCCTCGCTCGCCTCCCAGGCACGGCATCGGCGACCTCACCGCGCCGCCGCTGGGCGACGGCGTGCCGCGGCGGCACGGAGTCGAGCCGTCCGCGCGCAGTCGGTGAACTCGAAAGAACATCCCCCCAAAGAACTCGAAAGATGCACAGCCCTGACATGGAGTGCAGAGAGAGGAGAATCGATACAGTACAAAGCTGCTAATTTGTTTCACATGATGCCATTGAGGAAGAAGAAAGGATCTTGGGACTGGAATTCAAGATTAGCATGATGCAGCAGAGTTTACGGGTACTGTTTCCTATAACATGTTTATAACAGGGTCTTGCGGATCAGGTTACTCTGAGACCTGGGGAAGATGACGTATGTCTTTCCCGGCTTCCTGGGAGCTGCAAATCCAAGAGGGATGATAAGAGAAGACTGCTTGGGGGCCAACCTGAAGTGCTGAGTGCTTGGTCGCTCGAAAAGGAAGTCCCGAAAGGAAGAAGGGAAACTGCAGTACAGAGCATCACTGATCACGGTTGGATGTTAATTGGAATCCATCCCCTAGATTTCCAAACACGATTATATTTGGTCACCTAAAGGCCAACAGATTTAGTCTTTGACTCCCAGAGTAATGGAAGTTGACAGGCCAAACTTTGACATACTTTGACCAAACCTTGTGTGTGCACCCATCCCCAAAACAGCAGCCACCCCATCATACCGGTCAGCATACACCCCATCAAACCCCACCTGCATGGAGGACGATGTTTTGAGGATCATGCACCTACGGAAAACTGGAGGCTTTAGGGAGCTTCTCCGCCGCTGAAATCCAAATCGTTTGATTTCACCGTTCTTTTCCAGGGAATCAGCGATGGTTGATAGCTTAAAAGTCTGCTCGGGAGTTTGATGTTGCTTCGGAAAACAAAGGCTTAAAATATCTTAAGCGACTTAAACGTCCATCAGACACTCGGTCGAGATCGGAGATGTATTGCATCTTCGGGTCGATGAACTGCTTCAAAAAAACCATCGGCCCAGACTTCACCTCTGAGGTGAATCCGAAGTCTACTTGGGAGGTCCGTTTGATGAGCCGTACGCCGTCTGAGGTGAACCCGAACCTCGCCTTCATCATTTCCCAGTTCCCCGAAGAGTGGATGTTCCTCGCGAAGAGGCCGTCGACCATGGCGCGTTGGCGTCCGTCTGCGTCCGTCTGCGGCAAACGTCGGTCGACTGAACTGTTTTCAGAACGCGGTCTCAATGCGCCAGGGTCGAAGACCGCCGAGGTCGAACGGAAACAGATTAGGACATTCGGAAGACGAAGGGTTGCGTTTTCTTGGAAGGAATGAGGAGAACCTATAGGGTCTATGGACCTATGGATGTTGAATATGGCATGATTTATATGTGGCCACTCTTTAAGGTCAGAATAACATGATCCTGGTCAGAACATCCGCGTTTTGGAGGTGACTCGGACTCACCGCCCAGCCGAACGCGTCGCTCCTTCCGGTCCTTCCGGTCCGCCAGGCTCTTCCATGAAGGTCTCATCGAACAGCCGAACGTCCGGGGTCCTATAGGAGCTGTCTTCATCTTCAGCTGTCCGAAAAGCGGATCTGGGAAGAATGGCCATGATGGGCCAACCAAAAACCCACAACAGACTGACGACCTGGAGACCCAAAGAGTCAGGGTGGGTTTCTCGGATTGGACGGTGGGAAGAATGGCCTGATTAGTCTGTTTCAGATGTGTTCGGTGGTCGATGGGGGGCAAGGAATTCCAGCTCCAACAGTTCCATGGAGTGGGGTGCTGAACTTGGAGGAGGTCGGGGGTGCCCCCCATAACATGATCCACTTAGTGGATGGGTCAGGTCAGGTCAGGTCTAAAAATCCACTCAACAAGAGGGCGAAGAAGGGTTAACCTTGGGGGGGTGTCCTATTACCTGTAACAGTTGGTACACAATTCTTCGACATTTTAGAGAAAGGCCTGGAACCAGGCCCCATCATCATCCACTGGGCCCAGGGAATAGGAGCTACCCAAGGTTATGGTGCTTAGTTCTTTTAGATGAGGTGCATATTCCTGTTATTCGGCTGCTAGGTCTGAACAATAGAAAGACACCTCCACACGCGTACAAACATAAAACACGTTATTACGTACACGGTATAAGAGGGTCAAGAAGGGAAAGCCAAGATTATGCTCCTCTACTATAGTATCGAGTTCTGGCAGTTTCTATGGTCTATTTTTGGGATGTTTGTGGTATATCTCACAGGCCAGGATTTCAATATGACAGACTCCTTCTCAGTTTCTATATAGCGCACACACAGACGCAAAGCCATCCAATCAGTGCCCATGAACCCCCACAAAACCTCTCCCTCCCCCTTTCATCGAACTCGTCGCACGCACGAGCTAGCGTCGAACGCGTCGTCCTATGGCGTCGAACGCGTCGAACGCGTCGACGTGGGCGGCTTGCCAGCGCCCAGCGTGGCCGAGTCCCACGAACTCTACAAGAGCTTCATGAAGCGAAAGTTGAGGGATGGACTCGTCCTGGAGGCCTGGAACAGCGCACGGACAGCGCACGACATGTCCCGACCACCGAAACCGAACCCGAGACGCCCGGAAAGTTCGGAGGGAGGCCGACCTGAGGGTGGGGTTGGTGAACAGAGGTGAACATCTGCAAAAGTTGGACCAGGTTTGTAATGATTTGATATGATTTGTATGTCTTTTTGGAGGTGTTTGCGGTTTGTTCTTTTTAGTTGGATCCTTTTTGGGAGGTGGCGTTCATGTGCCCGCCACTTGGAGGCTGTTGCAGTGATATGAATGAACACGGCAGAACTCATGGTGCAATTACAAAAGTCTTGCAGAGCAGTTGTGATCCTCCAAAAAAAGCCACGTTGCGTTGATGTGCCTGGCCACAGTGTCTATACACGGCGAGGCGGTAACAAAACTGCGAAGGAAGATTGGGCCGACTCAAGTCTGTCATCAAAGAGCTCGTAAAAGAGTGCTACTTAGTGATACGTACATTGTATGCAGTGAAGCCATAGTTTGAGAACTGACATCAGCGGTTTAGCGGTCATCTTTACAAATTTGATGATCCATGAAGGAAATGGAGAAAGCCTCCAAGCAACCCGCCAAGCGGCGGCGTTGCAGGCAGTAATATTATTCTTGAAGCGAGTCGACAATGCATCGCCTTTTCTTAAGTGTATTGGGCGGGGAAAATGGAAAACACTGCCAAGCGGAACTCGCGGTTGAGGTCCGTCGGGGGAACACTGCCAGCCAGAGATCGCGGTTGAGGTCCGGCGGGGAACACTGCCATCCTGCACTTGCGGTTGATGTCCAGCGGGGAACCATCCAGAGCTGGCGGTTGAGGACGACATGGAGGCGCAGGAGGAGGAGGAAGGCAGCTGACATAAAATCTAACAACCCTCACCTGACATGTCGGGAAAACATGCAATACAGAACGACCGCTAAAGAATACTACAACAAACTCCCAAGAATCACGACTCTAGCCTGACGACCCGTCATGCCCGCGGTAACAGTTCCGCCTTTTTGATCTGTCGTCTCCTGCACATGCGACAGTCTAATTATGCACAATCCTCCCTTGATTCGCGAATAGGCAACAGCATCTCTTCCTGACCAAGCAGATCTTCAAACATGTCATCCCTTGTCATACTTCTGCTTCAGCCTTTCGTAGTCGCAGGCGTCCGACTTCACAAAAAAAGATTCCCGCTGCGTTCTTGCCACGTTTGTCGGCACCAAAGCACCTTGGCTAGTCGAACAAAATAAATGCTAGTTCCTCACGCAACCCTTCACGTCTTCGACCTTGGCATCCAAATTCAAATGCAGCCATAGCCAGATCGGTGGGTAGCACTTGCTGTGCACCAGGACCCAGTAGTAACCTTCGAGCAATTGTGACATATGCATACATGAAAATAATGAATGACACTATTGAAAAATGAAAAGTTTGAATTTGCATGAAATTGTATGAATTATGCATATGTTATCCTCCTGCACCATCCTGCGCCAAACAACAATCGGTGTACGATGGCGGATGTGGGCCTTGGAATCATTTGTTCCATTGGGATCCACATGGACCCACATAGGTCAGGGGGGGTGAAAAAATCCAAACAATGTATTGGGGGGGGCGCACAGTCCACCTATCAATACTTTCCCTGGTGGGCAGGGATCATACATCCTTTCTCAGTGCGAGTTTGTGCCTGGTGCTGCCATGGCTGTAGTGTCAAAGGGCGCAATTGCAGTTGGACCGGAAAACTCTCCGCCACAAACATGGACTCCGTGTAAGTGTAACGGGCACCGAGGGAACCTCGGCAGATAGAATGTGTGTTTATGCCAGAGGTCAGAATATATGCCAGACAAAATGGTGATTTGATGCGGGAGGCGCAATCAACAAAGCATCAGTTCCATCATTCTCCGAAGAATCCTTTTTGCAAGACTTGCCAGCGTGCAAGAATGTTGGCTCCCCAAGCGAGATCAAAGGGTGGTCAAGCTCGTGTTCCAGCCAAGCTGTTTGAGGATCACATCATCGCTGATCATGTTGTTGTGAAGGCCAACATTGAGGAAGGGCACAAAGGGGAAAGGGTTGCTTTCGCGGTCAAGGATTTGCACACCCAGTTCAGGTGCATCTATCCCGCACAAACCAAGTGTTCCGTTGAAATCGTCACTGCCTTGCAGCACTTCGTAGGACCGCAGGACAGCGTGGAGACCATCGAGAGAGCTGATTGCTGCCATCAAAGAGTTACAGGGTATCGTCACCAGACCTCCATTGAACACGTGGATTCTTCAAAATATAGTCTCGAGGGAACGCTTCGTTTTGGCATCTTGATGTTATCTTTGGAAGTGCTCTTGCTGCGACTTGCCTTTTGATGTGCAGATTTCGTGGCAGCACAGTACTTTGTGAACCTTGAAGTGCAGATTCTGTGGACCTTGATCATCACCACCACCACCTCCCTCTGGAACCCAGTGCGTCTAGATCTCTGGACCTTCTGCTTCTACACTTCTAGACCTTTAGACACACTGCTTGGGGTCTCTTACCGGGCTATATTCTGGGATGGTGTGTGTGGCCCTGTGTGTGCAAGCCAAGCTGCAGCTCTCTATACTGTTCGGTGATCATCACGGGAACGATGACCTGATACTCATTCACCTGGAGTTGCGAGGTTGCAGATCGGACTCTGACCTCCTCTCGGTTCAGCTTTGGCATATCAGTGACGCACTTGGGAATGGAGGGTCCCATGGAAGTCGTGAGCGACGCTGACTGAATGCAAAGATCGACTGATGCCCGTGAATCCTCCCAGGGAGAGCCCCTGTGGGAAAACACGAATAGAAGAAACTAATTCGAAGTGTGTTTGATTCCTTTGTTGACTCGATAATTTAGATCCAGTATTCAGTATACTTTAGACCAAAAGCGACAACAATGAAAAAACACAAAAACAAGCAAAAACATAAAAGACAACTGGTTTCGTGCCGACTCTGGTTCTCGATGCATTTTGGTACAATTGTTCCTGATGTTTTTGGCGAAAAGAACCTGTCCAATGCGTCCCCTCTGCCAACGGGTGGAATCTGCGCCATTTTTCTGCGCTTCTGCGGTGATTTTTTTTGGCCAGGTGAGATTATGGGCGGCCATGCGGACGCAGACGGTGGCGAAAACCGTGGTCGGAGCATTGCAATACGCGTAGGGTGGCGCAGAAATGGTGCCATGGGTATGGGGTGGAGATTGGATCAGATTTTGTGATGTGTTTTATTTTTTTCCGGGGCAACTGGTTTTGGTCAGGTTTGTCTACCATTGACAACTTGACAAATTACCCCAGTACAAATGGGTGCAATCGTTCAAAGGTTGAAGAGACAAGAGGGGCTAATTTGGTCCTGCACTGACATCCTGTTTGTCCACAGCATCACAACTGCACTGCGATTTGAGAAACCGGTTCAGTGTCAGTCCGATTGACAATGTTGGACGCCCCATTTGTATGTTGGAACCTTTGTACCAAAACCACAAAAAAATCTGCAAATGTTGCCTTTCTTCACCTACGCAGCCCAGCCGAGTACGGACCTTAGCGTCGCGCAGTGCCTCAGGCGCGCGTTAGCGTCGCTGCCAAAGCCGGGGAGCATAGGGCTGGGATAGGGAATTGGGGTTCAAAAGGAAGGACTTAACCATAGAATCGACGGAGACCAAAGTGCAATGCTTGGAACCTCCTACAGATTGCGAAAATAGATGCAACAGATTGTGACATAATACCCCGAGATATCCAGCATGTCTGTTTTGGTGCGGGTTCGAGACTGTCATGATCCTTGTCGAGGTAAAGAAGTCCCCATCACTGGACAGTTTTGACCCCCAAATGAATTAAACTAGATTCTTTGAGACACGTGTAGTTGTTGGGCGAGTTAGTTGTTGTTGGGTTTTCTCCAACCTATTGTAGATGTGTGGTGAATCCTGCACGCGACGTACTGCATGAACCTCCACAAATATTCATTCATATATGCATGCCTTTTGTCGAAGATACATGGGCTCGTCATGGTTTCAAAAAGTGTGGACATGTGTGGACGAAGTTACCTCTTGCTTTTTGTTTGCATGTACAAAACCATCCTTGACCCTGAGTTGTACTCCGTCATAGATGTCATCAATGCTTCTTCTCTATCAATGCTTCTGAATGAATTCTACCCAGCTAGACTTCAAAGGCACGTCGGATCCATTTTCGGGTTGGAAAGATGTGTGAGGTTAGTTCTGACACATCTCTCTCAGGATGAAGCAGTACTACGCGCAATTTCCCGAAAAGCGCAATCCAGAGGCGCAGGGCTGGTGGGGTGAGGCAAATATGAAACTTTAGTAGGCTGGGCTGACTGGGTAGTTGGGTAATGTTGGGCAAGAGGCTGTGACTGATGTACAAACAGAAAGTGCTTTGGTGCTGCTATATGGTGCTATCCATTTATGGTTTGGTCGTGTTTGGTCCTGCATGGGATGGATGTGTGAAAGCTTCAGGTTATGTACAACTACTGTTGAAAGACTCGAAGGGGCAGACTGAACACCAGCTTGGAAAAGCTGTTTGTGCGAGGTGAGTCCCACCGATTGCAGTCCAAAGATGAAGCCACCCAAATGAGAAGCCTGAAGAACATCTCAAGCTAAACACATCTTGGGAACGTGAGTCTTCCTGAAAACCAAGTGGACCACCAAGTCAAGACGGAAAAGACAGGGGATACCCAAGCTGCTATACAATGTGTTTATGTGTTTCTTCCTGAGGCTTGGACGGGTTTTGTGATTCTCCCAAGGTTTTGAGGATCGGGGATACCAGGGCCCAGCAGGCCGCAAGCTGGCTCGAGCTTGCACAGGAACATCGGCCCAAGCGGCCAAGGCCACGCGTGCACAAGCGGCTGTAGGTGGACCGGACCTCGGTCGTCCGCTAGTCGTCGGTCGTATGCATGCGGTGCATTGGTCAGTCGGGGAAGAAACGAGGTGTCCTGGTTTCCCTTAACCACGGGCATATATACCTAAGCTTTTCGAACTTCCCATCATTACCAGTAACAGATGATCATGTAATGGGACAGAGGCCTGTTATATACTGAACAATGTGTTTTTTCCGAACAGGTTGGGGTCTATTTCATGTATACAGGCCTTTCTCTATGTGGACCGAGAAAGACCTTGGTAGGTCCACCCAGGTCTCCTGGGCTTGGACCCACAGCCACGGTCTTCGGCGGTCAGGATCACTCTGAGTTGATCCTGGCGCATCAATCCTTCGGCCAGGGCCTTTGAGATCTGGGACAGGTTCACCAAGCTGTGCAAGCAGCATAGCATGGGGTTAGCCATCTCCAAGCTATACGTAAAATTACGGCTGGTAATTACGGCTGGCAAGCACTGTTTTCTTAATAAAGTTCAGCCGTACTGACATGAGTGGAAACTTGCTAGATACTTAAAAACAGGGAGACTCTGCATCCATGTGAAATGTTTGTGTCAAAGTACACATGATTTAGATGTGTGGGAAGAAATGTCAGAACTGCCCGACAGCCTCCTGTCTCTTGTTGGTGCCCAGTTTCCAGCTATTGCTGAGATGCCACACCTATCCATGCTTGTTAGTCGGGTATGTCCCATGGCCACGTAACAGTTGGTAAAGGACTAACACTGCTTTTGAGCAACGCCTTTACATGATCATCCGTTACTGGTAAATACATCCAACTTGTTAGCATTCTAGGTCACACCAAGCGCCACAGCCAGCATGGCCTCATGCCCTGGTTCGTATCACTACCTTTTGGGAAAAGTTGTAAGAGACTTACTTTCAGGACCGAAACGCCGCGTGCTGTAGGTGCTCTTCGATGTCAAATAGATTCAAACAGCAGAATTCTGGAGCTCCTGTGGTTTACCTCCTGAGGTCCTGTGTCGAGAAAACCTCGAACGAAAGGGTTCCATGGCCCTAGGGATCCAGTCGTACCGAACCTCAGGTTCGGTACGACTCGAGTCTCCAAGCCTACCATAACAGTGTCGAACACATCACCTTCTCAGCGGGCATGTGTTTCCCTAGGGTCGATCATATTGAACTCCAGGACGCATACATCGTTATGGGAATTGAAGAACAAACCATCATCCAAAGTTGGTGCACGAACAGTCGGATTTGTATGAAAATAGGGCCCAACTCCCCTAAACCAAGCACCCAGCCAGTGCCAGGGAGCTTTTCCTCTTAAAGTAACGGAAGAAGCGTCAGGCTGTTGCAGCGCTGAGGAATGAAAGCACCTGAGGGCAGCCCCGAGAACGATGAAGCGGTCAGGCTGTTGCTTTCCAGGCGGATTTGGGCGTCGGGGAAGAGTTCTGGGATAGGAGGAGACAGATATCGGGGAAAAGAGCGGATGAGATAGGATAGGAGGTTCCCAAATTCGAGAACATTGGTCGTATACATTATATGATATATTAATATGCAACTATTTAGTATTATGCTGTTGACACACACAATGATTTTAAGCTTCCTTTTACCATAGAGCTCTGGGGTATATAATAGAGCTTTGTTTCCATGCTATGCTCCCATGTCGAACGAACATGTCAACTGTAACTGGATGCATCAAATTTGATGAGAACGATACACATAATCGAAAGCAAACACCCAATGCCCAAAGGTGTTTAGCGCATCTTCTAACCCCAGAGTCCGAACCACCCATTCCCTAGCCTTCAAAGTTCATCTTAAAGTGGTTGAGTTGGTTTATTGTAGTGTAAAATCCTTAGTAAAGCATGCAAAACCATGGTTCTTCAGTAAAGGCCATTGAATCAATGGTGGTTTGAATCGTAGAGCATTTGCAGATGAATCATTTTCCAGACTCTATAGTGAGCTCAAAACTCTATGGAAGCTCCGGCATGTCACGACATGGCATGAAGCAATGATCCGGGTTTGGTCTGACCAGGACATCACGCAAAAAGTTCTATCGACTTCACTTAGGGTTCTATCAAACACTATCAAACGGTAAACTCTTTTCACAAATCCTCTCACTTGACCAATTGCCATTCATGTTCAATCATTTGATCCTTCTGCCTTTGCACATTTCTTGCCCTGCCAGGCATGCCAATGACCCAGTTTTCCTAGTCTTTGACCTTACTCCTGCAACTTCAGAAGATGTTTGGTACATGGTGGAGGCACAGCACGGGGAAAGGGCCACACGTGGCACTCATTTGACCTCTTCGTGCAACTTGTGTAAAGCCTTTTGGACCCTCCGCTTCTTCTGGAAAGAACAGAGCTTTATACACGAGAAGAGGCAGATGATGTGCTGGGCACTGGCAAGGCTTTAGACCAACAATCTGTTGTTCGCCTTGAGAGGGTGCCGCTGATGTTTGTTGGAAGTGCATCTATTTTGCTGCGAGATCACCGGATCACTGAACATGCGAGGAGCCAATCGGGGTCCTGAAGTGGCTGGCACAAAGAACCCATCGAAATGGTTAACCTCTCTACAGGTAACCTCTGCAGGTTACCCTCTATAGGTTACCCTCTACAGGTAACCTCTACAGGTTACCCTCTATTAGCTGGATTCCAAATGGCTAACCTCTACAGGTGTCGCTTGGTCGCTCGGTGTCTTTTTGTGTACTCCGCCCCGCTGCGTCGTGGTCGATGGTCCTGACGGGTTCCCCCCCGCAAGCTACCCTTGGCAGCAGGTGGTCGAGCCTACTGTAGCCGACAGAGCTTTCATCCAAAGCAACTGACTATAGCAAGTGAATTGATGTTGAGGCGCGATCAAAGGAGCACTTCGCATATGGCCAGGCGTTCCTCACCCGAAGAGGTGGATACCAACTTGGAGCCTTCAGCTACGCCAGCGTGAAGTGCAGGTGCGTACAGGGCCTTCCACTGGGGTAGCTGGCTTTTGAAGCCCGGAGAATTCGACATAAATTCCACGAGCGGATTGGGGATGAATAGCTAGAATTGGTGAACTACTTAAGGCATTGAACGTGTTTTTAGCGCATTCACCTTGCTCTTCCCTATCCAGAGGAGCAGCAATTTCCGAGCGCTACAGGGGCAATGTTTGACATTGGCCTCCTCTAAAACGTACCACCAGCACAAAAAAAGGAAGTTTGGACAATGGTGGATTTTACTTGTTCAATTTGCTCAAGAAAAAAGGTAACATACTTTCACATGCAATGCGCGTTTATAGTGTGTTGTTTTAACATGCATGTCCACCGCATGCTGCCGACCTCGCTGCCGACTCTGCTGTCGCTGGGTTCTTCGCCCCAAAGCGACTTCCGCACAGGTGGGATTCAGCTTTGGGAGACCTGTCAGTGCTGGAGGCGACCTGTCTGCGACCGGGGGAGGAGTCGAAGATCAGAAACAAATCCCATCCACATGCAGGTGACGGTGTTTTGATTTTTGTATGTGTATTATTTAGTATTATTAAGAATCCATTTGGAGACATTCAGGGGCTGTTTGGATGGGTTTGTTTTGGGTTTCGTGAAGGGCTTAAGATGTGTCCAAATTTTGCGGGTGATGAAAGAAGCATGGGGTGCTGCTAGTCGTATTGCCACATGAGTCACTAGGCAGGGTACAAAGAGGAGTTCATGCCGCAACGAGCGAACCGGGGAGATCTACATGGGCGAGCCCATAGGTTTAGCTTCGCCCGCAGGAGGGACAGTCTTCCAAATCTCCCAAATATGTTACCATATGAGGATGTCTCCAAGAACTTGACAGGTGTGGCTGTGTTGTATCCTGGTTTGCTTTATATCAGCTTGGGAAATGATCAGTGCCTGCTGGTTTGTTGTTTGGCCCTGTTTGGCTTCCTCTTGCATCAGGTCCTGCCCAGGAAGTACCCGCTGCGGCTAGGCGCGGGTGTTCTGCGAGTTCAGGACGTGAAAAAAGGGGCTACTATAGATGTTGCATAGCATATGGCGTCATCCGACACTGCTGCATATTCCTTTTGGCTTTGCAGCTGTACTTGTATTGTGCATAAGCAGATGGCCAACATATTCATGTGTGTGTTCCCCCTCACCCTTTTCACCTCCACTCAGCACCAACACTGAAGCCATTGGCAACCTGGACCCCTTGTCAACACCGATCTACTTAGAGGCATGAGATGTCGATGTCATGAGTCATTTCCCCGGCTAAGCTCTGCGCCGTTCCGAAGCTAAAACGACCCACGGCCGTCTACCCCGTGGCGAGGCCAGGGTGAGTACAAGACCCAGGGTAAGGTGCGCCGTCGGACGGCCTCGCGCCGACCACTTCGAGCGAGCGTGGGAGCTGTCGGACCATGCCTGTCATGGGACGTACGGCAAGGAAGGACAGAGAAGTATCATCATACAAACCCCACTGCTGCGAGTCTAGAAACTCCCATTTAAAAACAGTGCAAAAAAAAATGGAACTCTGCTTGCATCTAAACAAATGAAACTATGTAATGAGAGAAACTCCATGCAATTTATTTTCTTATTTGTGCAGACTTGGGGCGTATCCTGTTTCCTTCTCCAGGCATGCAATCAGCTGAATGCGATTCGCTTTGCCTCGGGGCACTACATCCAGGTGCGCTGGGTTTTTTCTCGACAAAAAACCGGAGGACTCTTCATAATAATGTAGACTCTTGATGAATAATCCCTCCAGGACGCTCATGAAGAGGTGTTTGAATTGACATGGGGGTGTTATTTATCAAGATATTACCCTAATTCCCTGGACAGGGCCATGTGGAAGGTCCTTAGACTTAAGATGAGTGTGTACAAATGCCCTGAGGGAGTCACTTTGGGGGTCTCCCTATTCCAAATACAGACACCCACATGGCGTCGATCTTCCTACTATCCTGAGCCGCTCGGACTGGGACGCACCGCGAAGCGGTGAAACGGTGAGGCCTTGGATTGCAACATGGGCACCTTCAAGGGAGAAGGCTTCAAGGCGCAGCGGACGGATGGCATGATGCGCCCACGCCACAGAGAGCCACGGAGGGGGAGTCACGCCACACGGACGCCCTTTGATGTATCTCACTTTAATAGACTTTGATGGATCTAAAGATCTACAGGAGCTGGATTGATGTCCAACCGGGTTCAGCACTTTCTGAAAAAGTCATGTCTCATCATCATGATTCATCGTTTATAATTTTCACATGAAGTAGAAATGAATGGAATCTAAACATGTGAGCGTTCAGAAAAGAACTCATCAATGGACCACCCATGCTCAGGCAATGCATAGGATGTTTGTTGAACGTTCTACCTTGCAGTTGTTTCAGCGAAGGGCCCAACCAGTTTATCAGGAGGCTTTGTTGATTCTCAAGGCGGGTAACAAGAGAGAGATAAAAAGCCCTGGCAGATCCTGGAAGCTTGGCAGAGATAAAGAAAGATGTAATAGCCTCTGTGGAATCAAACAGGGTAAACAGAACTCATGCTTTTTCCACCTGTTAGTACATGGTATCATGTTCAAGTCCTGCTTCTGTTCATCCAATTGGTGTAGCTCAAAATTCAAGGCATCAGACGACCAAATCGATTTAGGCCCACCAAGCGACCCAAAGCCTTGGGCTGTTCATTTGCTGTTTCAAGAATCTGTCCACCTGGAGAGATCCCGGAAAACATGTTTGGGACCTATGGTTGTGGGCCATCATTGCGAGACCGGCCAGTTGACCACAGAGAGAATGAACAGACTACAGGGGAGGTCAACCTGGCTCCGGGTAGGTTCCCTATGTCCTACGGCTGTTTATGCCTTTGGACAAGAAGAACCGCCTGAGCCTCAGCGTCCTGCAGCGTCCTAGCCCGGGAGAGTGATGTCAGCGGTGAGGAAGCTGTTGTAGCTGGGAGGGGAATGCTGATTCTGGCTGCAGCACAGATACCACATGCAGCGCCACATGCCATTTCGTCCTGAAAAGATCCAAGTCTGGTGATCCCTGCCCCTCGGATTTGATATGATCGAAGTGCACAAAGAGCCCAATCCAGATCCTATGGACATAGGATGAAACCCACATGATCAGATTCCACCCCACCCCTCCAGGAGTCCTGGGAGTTTGGAAATTCTGAGTTCACCGCAAAGGATAGCGCGAGTTTGGTTTGTCTTGATAGGTAAGAAAAAAAGGACGGCTCCAGGATTCTTCAAAGGGCACTGTACATATTATTCTTGCTCTCCCACAACGATTTCGCCCCAAAAGCGCTTTTGACCGCCCAAAAGCACTTCAGCGCCGTGGATTCCAAACGAAACCGACCGGGGCGCGTGATGGGTTGAACGGGGTTCGTTCACCGGAGACACCGGAGCTCAGGCGTCGCCACGCAGTGCCGCTTCTTGGGCTTTCGGGAGCACATCTACACCGCCCGCGAAGGGACGGCGGCTTGGTGGGCGAAAGACAGAGGGGTGTTCGGCAGCTTGTTCGGTGCGGGGGGTAAGATGATCTGACAATTCAACAAAAAGGGCACCAAGATGTGTGGTTTTTAAATCTCGAGTTGATTCTTAATGGTTTGAAAGTTTTACCAGATGTTGCAACATATGGATGAAGCACTTCGCATCCTCCCAACACATCCCAAAATGTTCACTCATGTTCACTCTACAGTAATAGGACTCATCATCATCAAAATTATATTCATATCATATCCTCTCTCTCGGCTGCCACCCCGAAAACCCATCAGATAAAAGCACCCCCTCTCCAGCCGCCCTCCGCCGCAGCTTCCACCGCAGCTTCGCGGCCGCGCCATGCCGCCGCCGCCCGGACGAGGTCGGGAAGTGCCACGCGGCGGCGGAGTGGACCTTCGGGACCATCTACCAACGCTTCCTGAGCGGCGCGGAGCGCCCAGAGTGCTCAGGGGGCACGCAGGAGGAGGAGGAAGGGGAGGAAGGGGTGTCACGCGAGGAGGAGGAGGAGGAGGAGGGGGAGGAGGAGGAGGAGGGGGAGGGTATCACAGGAGGAGGAGGGTTGGGTGCGAAATGAATTAATTTAGTTTTGTGGGTGGGAGGCAGTGAGATGGAGTGGACGGGTTGCATAAAGAATGTTGCTTGGCACCCAAGGCTCATCTATGATTAGTCTTACTCAAGGGGTAGAGATGTTGTTCACAGTTGTTCACTTGTTTTGCTCACAAGCTTTCTTTGTTTGGAAGGGTTCGGTCACGTCTGGTCCTTTGCCCAACATGCCTATAGTCCTATAGTGCCAACTTGCTCTCCTTGCGCCGCTCTCCGAGCGTCCGTTTGAGGCATGGGCACTCGAATGCACTACGGCCATCCCGATTTTGTCGATGGATTTTGGGCCAGAAACCGTGGAGGAATGAGCCATCCCCGCCATGCTTTCTGCGCACGACTTTGTGGGCGGGCTCGGGAGGGTAAACGCAGCACAGCAGTGTGTTGTTAGCCAAGTGCTGCAAAGAAGATTCCTACTGCTGGTGAAGGAAATTCGCAGCTTCAAACCCAAGGCACGCAGGTTGGAACAAGTGTAATATTAACAAGATTGCATTATCTTGTGAGCGCCTGAATGCCATAAAGAATGTTATCCCCCTTCTTCCAGGTGAAGGATATCTTATTCATATCCTATACTGCCAGAAGGACTCCCTCACCACACCTCCCATTCCCCGATGTCGTAAGTATAGTCAAGGCGGGAAGCCTTGTTTCTTCCAAAATGGAAAACTGTGAGTGTCCATGAAGATGTCAACCTTACTCGCCCACTTCATGGGCCAGGTAAAGGCTCTCCTGTCGTGAACCTTAGTGAGGACATTTTTGCAGGCAGGGTGGGTGACAGACGGTCGCTGGATGTGGTATTGACGAGTGTACGCAGGTGCCAAGGGCCGTTGTTGAATGAGAGCAGTAGATATTGGGATCCTTTTTTGGTGGCACTTTCAGCGTTGCGTCGCACCAGCCGTGTGCAGGAGGTTTCCACTGGCTCAAGCATGTCTTTTTGCAGATGTCAAGTATGTTCGACTATAGTATAGCATGCACCTTGACGCCAGATCTCCACGATCTCCCACGATCTCCAACTCCAATCATGACCCTCCCCCCTTGGCCCTGCGTGGAGGTTACAACGTCCACATGCGTGAGGAAGCGTCACCGCACGTGGACGCCCTTGAATTCGAGAAAGGCAGAGAGGCCGAAGCTCCGCTGCGCCGGTCATGTGGTCGTTTGACTCGGTTTTGGGTGGCAGAAGTCGTGAGCTGACGAAAAGCCTTGATGACTTGGTGACTTGGTGTTGGTGACCACGAGCAGAATTGTTTTGTATAGACGACTTTTTGCACAAAAGTGCGACCCACTGTAGCCTATACTGTAGCTATACCTCACTTCAATGTAAGTGTTCAAATTAAAGACCTTCATTACGCAGGTTCCACCTATACTGTTATCTATACTGTAGTTATACCTCACTTGGTGGTGGCTTCTAGAATCCACCAAGTCATTTCTGCTAATGGACCGCGTATGTCCCAGTCTTTCTGCAGGCAGCGTTCAACGCAGCGTATGGACCTTGGTGAGCGGCGAAAGACAGATCTCGGTCAACGGAGAGCGATTCCAATGGTTCGGGTAGAGGCTCCTTTTTTGGAGGTTCAACAAAAACACACGGTCAATATGGCTGATTCCGTTCAATCGCAGGGCTTTCTCTTGCAAGTGGATTGTCCTTATTCCTCTTCTTCCTACGTTAGAAAGACTCTTGAATCGTGAAGCACAAATGAATGTTGCAAAGTCACGATTCTATTCAATTTTTGACCTGACACCTGCAAAAAGTCAACTTGAATAACTAAACTACACATGATATGGTTCAGAGCTTCGCCGACCACTCGTCTCCGAAGCGGCCCAAGACCGACCCGAGGTCCGCCTTCTTCGCGAAGATCTCCGGCGGAAGCGTCGGGATCCTCCGGTCAAGAGACAACCATTTGCTCTGTGAAAGGCGCGGCGCAGTGGCGAGTGGGTGGAGACGGATGGGTTGTTTGGTTGGCTGGAAGGCAGGTGCTCTTGTTTCATGAGGTCAGAAAGAGCAAATCAATTTGGAGGGGTTATTGGATATGCGGGAAAGCTGCAGGCCTTGATTTAAAGAAGAGATAGTCATACGTAGAGCAAATATTGAGCAGGAAGATGTGTGAAGGCGTGTTGGAACAGAACACTACTAGTTTGAATGGACGTGGACTCTGTTTGGAGGACAATTGTATATATAAGCTGGGAATGGGTGGAAATTATCACCTCACCTCACCTCACCAAGTTGAGCCTCAAAGAATTACACAGACTTTGTGTGTTAAATATGTTCTATATTAATGCTTGATACAACTAAGATGTATATGTAATGTATATGTGGTATATTCACAACCCTGTGACTGAATGTCTTGACCACGTCACGCTATATATGGTATACCAACCCAACCTCATCCTGAACCTCCAGATGTGACCGAGCCCTTCTTTCGATCACTCTCTCCAGCACCAGCTGAAGCCGCAGCTGCGTACAGCCTAGCTGCAGCTTTGCGCCTTTGCTCCTGGCAGGATTGGAATTCTGCACTCGTTGTCGTTTTACTTCACCTCCGTTGCGTTCTATGCCGGCATCCCAGAACGTCCTCCCTCGTTCGGCGCAACATAGCTTAGTGAGGCTGCGCTGAGTGAGCGCTTATGGCTTGGCAGTGCCAATTGCATGGTTCGACTGGGATTTTGGATCTGTTTTGGGCAAAAGTATTTGCTTTTGTGATGTATACTTGACGGCCATCGAAGAGGCTGTGATATCTTGTTCCAGACCATTTTGTGATGATCTATCACTTACGCCCCGAATATCCTATGCTACAAAGAGGTTTCCGTTGCACTTCATCCAACTCCCTGCTCCTTGGCCATGCCCATTCTCGGTGGCTCCGAGGTGAGCAACTTGTTGATTGACATTTCGATCACTCTTTATGCCGCAGCCTCGGTCCTTCCGCTTTGTGTTTTTTTTTTTTTTTTCGATCGGCGGATGTGTTGAGATACGTTTTGTGTATGACTCCCAAGAGCTCCGTTTGAGGTAATCTATGGCCTATAGTCACCAACAAACCACCAAATTAAAGGGCATATTGTCGCATACATGGAGGGCTTGGGAGTGGCAATGCTTTTCTGAGATCAGTGAAGATTCTGGGTCCCAAGAGAGCTCCTGCAGCAGTGATTGCCAGCGATTGCGAGGGCATTCAATGCTAAGATGCATAAGCAAATCCTGCGTGCAGCTGCCACTACTAGTATCACTTATAAAAGCGTGTGAGGTTGCGAATGATGGTGTTTACAGTACCCGCTGGTTCCACGCCGGCACAGGATCTTCCATGCGTTTGAGCTTATGAGTTAAGATTGATTCTACGTGCACCGAGTGCTCGATGCCTAGACACAGTGCCCCACCTATCTTCAACCAGAGTTCGCCTTGACTTCAACCCGAACTGCCGGCCGCCGAGGTCACGCTTTTCATCGTCTTCACTCTGGCGCGGGGGCTCGGCATTTGGACGCCGATTGGCTTCACCAGTTGACATGTGAAGTGATAGCTCGGTACATCCCACATTTTGTTCAGTGCCAAGCCGAGCTCTTGGATACCTGTTCAGCGGTTGATGAATCAATGCCGCTGTTCGAAGTCTTTCAAACAGTTCAGCAAGATTCAGCAAGTATTTGTTGGGTCTGTCTGTCCCATTACCATCATTACCTGTAACAGTCGGCACACAATTACCATTATGATTTTAGAGAGAGGTCTGGAACCTAATCATCATCCACTGTTACTGGTTATAGGATATACCCAAAAATATAGTTTCTAGACGTATTTCTGCATCGTAAAGCGGTCTCTCAGACTTGTTGAGGTTGGCACGAGGGTGTTCCGTGCCGACTGTGTGTTGTTGTTGTTGTTGTTGTTGTTTCCCGTTATCGATGGCTTCCAAGTAGAGACGAGTCAAGAACTGTTTCATAACATTTGATGAGATGCTTCAATATATTTGCGAGGGCTCAGTCGAAATGAACGCAGAAGGGTGTAGAAAGCAAGAACTGGGCTCGGAAGATGATGGGAAGTTAATCTCAGGTGTTTGATATGAGTTTGCATTGGATCATTGTACAACAAAGTCCCAAGCAATGGAAACAAGAGCGATTTGACTGATGAGAAGCAAACTGAAATGAGTAGCAAACTGCAGAACCAAGAAATAGAATGAATTAGAGGCAGTACTAGAGGCTTATTACAAGCAATTTGATAGATGTTGGAAACCAACGGCTGACACTGTCATAGAGAAGCAAAACCTTGTATCACTATACCGATCAAGTCACCTGAGTGAGTGGTCGTAGCACCCGTTCCCATGGGTCGCCGCTGGGGATTGACCGCGTGCGAGGCCAATATCGACCTGACCAAGCTCTCGGCTTTGGGCTCTTCCTTTAGTTCCGCCACTTGGAAGCATCGCTGGGCACCACGCTGGTACGTAGTTTTTGGAGGATAGGCCCAAGAGGTTCCCCAGGTGAAAGATTAGTACGCCCCGTTACCAAGCAGCCATGGCAGATGCATCCGCGGCAAAACGAGGTCTTGATAAACAACTACAAGACGTAGAGGACAAGAGATCCCCAGATCACAAGAAGGCAAAGAAGGAAAAGAAAGACAAGAAAGAGAAGAAATCAAAGAAAGAAAGACGGCGTGAAGAAGCTGAGCATTGGAAAAGTCAAGCCAGCAACACTCCCCAACGTGCACATTCTGAAGAGTTGGATGCAGTCAAGAGCTCACCTGCCAGGAAAGAAACTATTCGAAAGTACTCCGAAGCAAGATCAACATCCTCCAGAACAAGTGCCACCATGGAAGTGCGATCCGGCGAAGAGAGACTCAAAGCAGCAGAGCAAGATATCGATCAACTTTGGCAAGATTCTAATGTGTTGTTCAGCGGCATGAAGCAGATGCAAAAGCAGCAAGCCTACCTGATGCAAAGAGACACGGCACAGGCAAGAAAAGAAGCCAACACCCAGGTTGTAGTCAGCAACTGGCCACCGCATGCACAAGAGGATGATAGAGACAGAATCATCGAATGGCTGATTTTTCAGGCACAGATCCCCGCCAGAGAGTACCTACACGCATCACACAAAACCCAACCAGATGCCATTTCACGAATTACAATCATGCACTTCCGCAGCGTATGGTCCACCAAGAAGTTCATAGAGTACGTCAAGAAGTTCGCTTCCGGCAAGTACCCACTACCCTTTTGGGAAGCAGACAACACAGTGCCACAAGATTCAACTGGCAGACCCTACCACCTCCAGATCAGACAGCAAATTTGCACACCAGATCGCATCCGCAGCATCCCTTTGAAAGCCTTTCTGCAATGCATCAACGACAACCCCAACTGCATCTACCACAATCAGACCCGCAATCTCTACAAGAACTGGTCCAGCCACGTCATAGCCAATGAAGAAGGGAATCTCCTCAAATGTCTCTTCAACGACGCGGATGGAACCGTGAAAATGTTGATCCGAGAAGATTTGTTCAACATGGTGGAGAACAGCATCGCAGCTTCATGGAAGACTGTCGTTGCCAGACCATCAGACGACGATTTTGCCAACAGAAAAGGAAAAGGCAAGGCTGGAAAAGGAGGCCCCGCTTCATCGACAACAAGCCACAGCGTTAAAGGCATCCAGGACTACCTCTACAACGTGCACCTGGTGAAGGTACGCCCCACACATGAAGAAGATGACGAAGAAGCCCTATAGGAGACAGTTGGCTGTCCCAACCAACCGTGGAAACACGGACATCGATACCAAATTGCTACTATGGAAAGAAAAGATTCGCAAAAAACACCGTGGAAACACGGACATCGTTACCAAGACGCTACCAATTCAAATACCTCAATGCAGACTTGGAAGAAGAACCGCTTTAGCCATGGCAAGAGTTTCACCAACCTTCTACCGTCAAGCGGTGGGCCGGGACAGCCGCGGGTTGTAACACACACCCAGCGGAGACGAAAAGACCTCACAAAGACAGCGCAAACAGAAAAACGTTGCTCTCATAAAGGAATTCGTTCTATAGAAGCCATTGTCAGACGAAAGCAGAATCGAACGCAAAAACGGCGAATAAGTCGACAAAATTACCGGTTCTACAATAAACGCGTGCTGTCTGCCCACTGTGGTGCGGCCAGGCCGGTGGGCTTACCAAAACTGGCTCAGGAAACCCCTAGCAACCAACCAGTGCTGAAAAACAAGCTTATCAAATTCAAAATTGAAGAGCGTCTCACAAGATTCCGTAAGTATCAATCTATACAACACAAACTACAAAACAAGCGCCAGACAGATCAGACTGAACTGGGTGCGCCCAATCACCCGCAGAACCCTACATTGAGCGCGTGGAACTACAATGCGCCCTTCAAAGTGGGGACAATCAACTGTCGTGGTTTGAAAGGCGACAGTGCACTAACCAAAAAAGCAAATCTTATCTCAGCAATGGAAAAACTCAATATTCACATTATCCTACTACAAGAAACCCACGTCAACACGAACTCTTTGGAGAAAGTCAATGGTTTCACGTTTCTATACTCGACAAGTATCACAGATGAGCAGAGGAAACGTGCAGATAATAAACGTGCGCAGACTGCGCAGCAGAAACGGGAAGGAAAAGGGAAAGGAAAAGGGAAAGAGCAGAACCAAGGTTGCAGACAAATTCCGGAAGATATTGAACACGGCGGTGTTGGCTTCTTGTTATCCCCCGTGGCAATAACAGCTTTGCGAGACTTTGAACAAATTGACGGTAGACTCATGACGCTGACACTTGATGCTCATGGTCCTGATATACACATTATCAACGCATATGCCCCCCCAAAGTGGCTGTGATGCAACTATGAAAGAAGTATTTTACAATAAGCTCCGCATCTGCTTAGAAAATTTCCCTTCTTCACACCCCACCTTCATTATTGGCGATTTCAATGCACGTCTACATGCCAGGCTTCCAGATGAACATAGGTTTATTGGTCCACATGTCTTTGGCCGTGGGCTGACTTACCTGCAGCAGATGAACGATGCAACGTTCGAAAATCGCTCGATGTTTGTTGAATTTTGTATTGACAATGACCTTTGGGTAGCCAACTCATTCTTCCAGAAGCCGCCTAGCAGCCAAATCACCTTTAGAGAGGCAGGGGTTGACCATGCTCCGCCATGGACTCCCGAAAAATTTGCGCAGCTTGATTTCATCATCGCCCCGCAACGATGGAAAAATTGCGTCAAAGACGCTGCTTCCCAGAGCACGTTTTGTTTTGATTCCGATCACTATTTGGTAGTTGCCCGAATTGAGGTGAAACTCAAAATTCCCGAAGCTAGAAAGCGGCCAGTGCTTAAGTTTAGACAGCCAGACGGCGTTCAGTTGCAAATATATAATCGGCATGTTACGCAAAATTCTCTTAATCACAATGGTTTAACTATGAAGAACTTCATTTCCATAATTGCTCAAGCATCCCGCAGTGCTTTTAATCCTGTTCCAGCTATGCAGCGTAGATGCTATATTTCACAACATACTTGGGCTTTGATTGAACAGAGACAAGCAGCTCACACGGAGTGCAACTCTCAGACCGTGAAAGACCTGACTCGTCGAATCAAGTGCGAAGCCCGAAAAGACAAACGAAAATTCCTTCTTGAAAGTCTCAAGGAATCGGTTGACTCACGCAGCCAATGGAAGGCGATCAAAAATTTGAAAAAGAAATCGACCCCAAATTTCACGAAGCTGAAAGATAAGGATGGGAATAGAGTAGGACCGCACAGGAGAGCGGAAGCAATAGCAGAATATTTGTCTGATGTGCAGTGGAAAGAGCCAGTGCTACCGCCGCCGCAGCCATTTCGCCGTGCCGTGATCGCAGATCCAGTACCATGTCCTACAGACAATATTCAACTGCATGAATTAAATAATGTAATCAAAAAGGCCAAAGCGCACAAAGCGCCTGGCCCAGACGAAACGGGAGCTGAACTGTTTAAGCTTCTGGATCAGACCAACCGAGACCTGTTGCTTGGGTTGCTAAACCATTGGTGGAGAACCGAGCAGATTCACGAGGAGCATTTAATGGCGCAAGTAGTGACCATATTCAAAAAAGGTAGTACCGAACAGATATCAAATTACAGGCCTATTAGTTTGTTGAACACCGTGTACAAGCTTTTTGCTGCTATTGTTCGAAAGAGGCTAGCAGACCATATTGACCCTTTCATTTCCGAATCACAGTTTGGCTTTCGACGTGATAGAAGTACTACTCAGGCCTTGTTTGTTGCGCGTCGATTACAAGACATTGGAGAGCAGACGGGCGATAGAGTTGTCATGCTTTTCCTGGATTGGGAGAAGGCGTTTGATAAGCTATGCCATTCACGTATGTTTGAAGCACTGATGAGACTGAACATCCCCGAAAAACTGCGAAATGTGATTGCTGCACTTTACAAAAAGCCTACTTTCTGCGTAAAGTATGATCAGCACACGTCCAACATCAAAGACCAGCAAGCAGGAATTAGACAAGGATGCCCGTTATCCCCTTATCTTTTTATTTTAGTGATGTCAGTTCTGTTCTCCGATATTCATTATGCAATCGACCGAGATATCATTCTGAGCCGTTTAGACCGTATAAACTTTTCGGAAATCTTGTACGCGGACGACACGCTGCTAGTCTCCAAAGACACATCAGGTATGAACAGACTTTTGCACGCAATTGAACTTGAGTCTTCTTATTATGGCTTAAAACTCAACCAGGATAAATGTGCTGTGTTATCACTGAACGGCAACAGCCATGTTCGCTTCAGAGATGGATCCTTAGTGCCGCACGTAGATGAAGTTACCTACCTTGGTGGAACTTTGACCTCACAAGTCTCAGTTGCTCGTGAGATTTCCAGCAGAATTTCATCCACAATGGCTACTTGGAAAAGTATGGATATCTTTTGGAGACATGCTCAATGCTCCGTTAGAAATAGGCTGCAAGTTTTCAACTCTGTTATCAAAAGTAAACTACTTTATGGGCTAGAGACTTTGGAAATCCCAAGTGCGCAGATGTCGCGCCTGGAAGCGTTTCATTTGAAAGGTTTGAGAAAAATTTTGGGTATGCAAACAACTTTTGTCAATAGAGCCAACACGAACCAAGAAGTTTTTAGAAGAGCCAACATTGCAATTCAAACTCGCCAAAACCCGACTTGTACAATTCAAAAGATCAGCGAGCTGCTGGGTCAAAGAAGGATCGCTTTAGTTGGACACATTCTAAGACAACCGCGTACAAATCCTTTGAGAAATGTATGTTTTCGGCAAGATACGGCGGCTCCTTTTGAAGTGCTGTACCGTCGACCAGGTCGACCCCGAAGGCGATGGATAGACTCCACCTTGAACATTGTCTGGGAAAAAATACGTCCAAATGGTGAAGGATTCAACCAATCGCCTGAACAACTGGCACATATACAGAATGCGGCAAGAAACTACCAATTGTAAAAAAGCAGGATCACACAAATGAAAGATTTGACTCACCAGGTTTTTACCTGGACTTCGATACCAAATTGATATTAATGAAATGCTACAGCTTTGACCGAGACGCAGTGGTAATGTGAGCGCGCCGCGGTTGGCGTAGGGGTGCCTACGGGCGTGTAAATACTTTTTTGTGTACAGTACTTAGTATAATGTGACCCACACGCCTTTGGCAAACGAAAGAAAGAAAGAAAGAAGTCTGAGAGGATACTCCCACATATAGATTTCCTACATGTGCCTACTGGAGACAATTTTGCTTTTCCAGGACAGGTTACTAGGTACTGTATACTGACCATATCTGACCATATATGTTCTCCTACAATTACTGAAGAAAAGCTACTAGGTACTGTATACTGACCATATCTGACCATATATGTTCTCCTACAATTACTGAAGAAAAGCAGAGAATAGGGCAGGGGGCAGAGATCTTATGCCCAACTTGCTACGGTGTACTATGGCTCATTTCGGTTAGTTACTTTACTGGTTCAATATTTGGGAATGGAGGCAAATGGTATACTCTGTGAATGTGCTTCCTGTAGTTGGCCTCTTCTTCTCACGCAGAGGTTCCCAATGCAAACAAGGAAAGCTTCTATAACAAAGCCTTGTTGTAGACATACACAAGCCTTGTCACGACCAAGCTCAGTTGTAACAACAAGGAAGCTTCTATAACACCGCTAGAATTGGTCCATGTATATATATATATTATAACAACTGATGGTCAAGACCAGCTTTGAGCTCATTCAGCTCCCCTCAGTCACCATTCTTGGCCAAAGAGCGTCTCCCAAGGAGTGGCTCTTGTCCCTCGGGATCATGAGCCCGGCAGCCCGGGTGGGAAGACCTTGCAAAACGGTGGCAACCGGCGGCACATCTTGCTGCTTAAGATGTCATGAGACCTCAAAGTTTTTCAACCATATATTGTTAGTGTGCTTCAATGCGTAGTTTGGCTTGCATGGCTGGCTACAGAACATCGAAGGGTCTTGCTCATTGATGGCGGGGCACAACTCCGTCAGTTCCTCGCAAGATTTCGGTAGGTTTTCGTCCTTGGTCCTGTTTAAATTCACCAGTCAGAATGTCAAAACTTGTTGCAGTGTACTGGGTGGGTAAACCAAAAAGTAACTAGCCTCTCATGGATGCCCAAAAAAAGCATCCCACGACCACAACGGTAGAAGGGAAACACTTGAGCAAATCAAATCCTGTCAATTTCAACTTCCTGACATGAGTCTTGGGTCCAAAGACCTTACAAAGTAGAAATACCCACCGACGGGGCTCGTCAGTTTGAGACATTCTTTGCCCAAAACACGGCTCGCCTGCCCAACCGACCGCCAGAGCGCGGGCGTCCCACGCGAGCGAGGTCTTTTTCCTCAGCTTTTCGAGATGATCCTGGAGCCTCGTGGCAGCAGAGTCACAGCGTCCGAGTCAAACCGTAGACCATGGTGCGATATGTTTTTTTTGATATGTCAGGACTGGATGACCTTCCGGTCACTGAATGATTCCAAAGCATCAGTATTTGAGAAGGTAGTTGGAACTGGACAGTTGAGTAAGGGAGAAGAGGGCGCCTCATGGTGTCAATGGGCTTTGAGCCTTTTACCTCAAAATAGTTGAACAGGCTTTGAAAAGGGGCGCCAACCCATCTTCCATAGATAGCCATGCTATGTCTTCCATCTTGCCGAGGAATGTTCCAAGCAGGTTGACAGTTCACATAGGTTTAAAGTTTAAAGGGTATAACAAATAATGCAGAAAAAGCGTGGTCAAGAATAGGCTGCCTGAAGAAATGACAGCCGCACAGTTTGGGCTCAAAGGATGCAAATCACGTGAGCTGCGAAGCCCTTGCTTGTTTGCTCATGTTCCCGCTACCCCGGAGATTGCAAGAGCAACTGCGCAGCCGCTTTTTTACCGCTGCAAGCCTGCTGGGTCAATGGCAAAGGCGTTGTGATCGCCTTACACAACTTCAACGGCGAATCAAGTTTCCACCATTAGAAAGCATAACAGTTGAGAATAGAACCCTTGCACTTCCACTTCAATTGGTGCCTCCTCCTGCACATCTCCCATCTCAAGAAGAAATTGAGTATTTGATTGGCTTTTTTGATGGTGATGGTTGTGTTACCATGCAAGGCAACGGAGGCCAGATTCGCTTGTTTCTTAGCCAGAGTTTTGACTCTGCAATTGTGTTGTTTCGCTTTCGTGATTCTCTTGGTGGTGGCATTTGTCGTCAAAATTGTGCCACTGGAACCAAGAAAGCTACTTTACAATGGCATGCTTCAGGTTCCACAATGCGACATGCAGCCAATGTTTTGTGCAGAGCCCCTTCAATGAAGCAGGCCCAGCTCCAAATAGCAGCAGAGCGTTCCGTTTGCAAGGCAGTCAGTGCCCAAACAGTACAGAAACTAAGTTTCCTCAAGAAGCCAGAGCACAGACCCGAAAGCTTCCAGTGCTCCTGGCCTTACTTTGCAGGATTTTTTGATGCTGAGGGCTCAGTTACCATCAGTCCATTTGGTGCACATCTTCAAGTAGAAATCGGCCAACTGAACCTGTTTGTATTGCAGGAAATTCACTCCTTCCTGCACAAGCATGACTTGAAAGGGTGGAAGCTTGGAGTTGGCAGCCAGGGTTCTTCCAAGCTTTATTGTAAGCAGTTTGCAACCTGCAAGCTGACACTGCAGCGCCTCCTGGATAGTGGACTCTGCATCAAGAAGAAGCAGGTCGAGCTTGCTCTTTCCCTCACAGCGGACAATCACAAGCAAGTTCGTGAAGCAATATCAGAGTTGAATGGATACCAAACACGGTACCAGCGTCTTGACGACAAAGGCGTCGAACGCGCCAAGGAAATTATCAGGGTGGGGCAGCAATTGCGCAATGCATCCTCTGAACAAAAGCTCGAGATGCTCCGAGTGAAGCTCGAAGGTCTTCGTGAAGAGCACGCGCTACAAAACTCGATCACCAAGTGCTGCCGCCTCCGCCGACACATCCGTGAATCACTTCAAGATGGAGGCGTCGTGATGCCGATCAGAAGTCGCATCGGCTGACATGGACCCAGTCATCGATCATGCTTGAAGTCCCGTAGTACTTGCTGTTAGGAGGCGGGATGAAATTGCAGGGCAGTCGCGTTTGTGTGTGGCAAGGTTTGTTTCAGCCGGGATGAGGTAGGTAGAAACAAGGTCGGAGCACACACTTCAAACACGCTGCATTTAGGCCCATACCCTCTCAATTGAGTCTATCTTTGATGCACTTGTTTCTGTTGCTCGACATCATTGAATTGATTGCTGGTCCATTCACTAAGATGCAACGCCAACTCTCATTCGTTATAAATGTCGGCTGGTGGAATGAGGATCCTGTTTGTGGGGCATGGATTGAAAGCACTCACAACGCTGAGGTTTGAGGGCGGCATCACCTTTGGTGTTTTTGTGCATTTGGGATCATGTTGGATTCCTTGTTTCTTTTGACAAACACTCATGTAATGGTTCAGGGTGTTGCTCGTGGATCGTGGGTTTTTCACGGACGGAATCAGTGTGGCAGTCGAGTGCAGCCACGCCAACCCTGTGGTTTCACCTGAAGAGCCCACATCCAATATTGACTGTTCCTTTTATGGATACAGGGACTCTAAATAAGCTGCACCTCCCATAGAACAGCCCTTTGCATGTTTTCATATGTTTTCCACTAGAATCTTATTTAGGATCAAGGTCCTTTGGTGTTGACTTTCGAAACAAACTGCCTGTGAAAGTGACTACACTGCAACTCATGGCATTCACTCCTTTCTTTGGAGTGGTTTTGACAAATTCCAAGCGCAGTAATTATATGTTTCATCCCGCACTTCTGTTGTTGAAGCACCTGGAAGAACATTTTAGAATCCACAAATTGCGTTTTTGTCCATCTTCCTGAGGAGACTAGTGTTCTTGGCAGATGCTTTTCTGCTTTGGCAATGGCGGCAATGTTCCTTGTGCGTGGGGTACTTCATGTAAACCCATTCCCACGATACATTTTGACTACAAGTGAGCTGAATACATGGCAAAGGCGGTGCGATCGCTTGACGCAGCTTCAACGGCGAATCAAGTTTCCACCACTGACAAGCATAACAGTTGGCAATAGCATGTTCAGACTTCCGCTGGCAGCCGTGGGTCCTCCTTCAGATTTCCCAACTCAAGAAGAAATGGAGTATTTGACAGGTTTGTTTGATGGAGATGGCTGTGTAAGCATGACCAGAGGCACTGGCCAGTTGCGGTTGCAGCTAAGCCAGACCTTGGACTCTGCAAAAGTGCTGATGCGTTTCTGTGACCGTTTGGGTGGTGGCATTTATAACGAAAAGTGCAAAACAGGAGCGCGCAAGGCAGTGCTCCAATGGACAGCTTCAGGCAAAACCATGCAACACGCAGCAAATGTGCTATGCAGCATTCCTTCAGCGCAAGGTCCGCGACTCGAAATAGCAGCCAAGGGCAACGTTGCAAAGGCAGATCGATCTCAGGTGGCACATGTGTTGAATTTGCTCAAGCAACAAGGGCACCAGCCTGGGAATTTCCAGTGCTCTTGGACTTACTTTTCCGTTTTTTTGATGCAGAGGGATCAATTTCGGTTGCTGGGTCTTCGTGCACATTACGCATGGAAATTAACCAGAAGATACCCTTTGTGCTGGAGGAGCTTCATTTCTTCCTGCGCAAAAAATGATCTGAACAAATGGACACTCAAGCATCTCAGCAGTGGATACTACAAACTTCGCTGCGTGGACACTGCCACTTGCAAGCTGACTTTGCAGCGCTTGCTGAAATGTGGGCTCGATGTCAAGAAGAAGCAGGCGGCCCTTGCTTTGTCCCTCACACCAGACAATCACAAGCAAGTTCGTGAAGCAATACATGAGTTGAATGGATACCAAACACGGTACCAGCGTCTTGACGACAAAGGCGTCGAACGTGCCAAGGACATCCAAAGGGTGGGAAACCAATTGCGCAATGCATCCTCTCAACAAAAGCTCGAGACGCTCCGTGTGAAGCTTGGAGACCTTCGTGAAGAGCACACGCTGCAGAACTTGGTCACCAAGTGCCGCCGCCTACGTCGACACATCCGTCAATCACTTCAAGAAGGAGGTGTCATGATGCCGATCCGACAGAGTCGCATCGGCTGAAATTGACCCATAGATGTAGCTTGAATTCTCAGACTTGCTGTCTTGGAGAGGTAAGGGAAACTGCTCCAAAGTGTGTGGTTGCAATTGCATGACCGTTTTGTTCAGCTGAGTTGAGCTAGGTAGAAACAAGGCCCGAGTCAGGCGCGGCGTTCTCGATTTAATTCAGGTTCTCACGATACTGCAATCACAACCTGCATACACGCCCGCTCCCTCCGAGTCATCCTGTGCTCCGAATGACTGCTCTTTGTCTATTCAATGATGTGAAACCAATTTAAAAAGGCTCGCTCCCTTTTTTCCTTTGAGAGCATAAATGAACTAAGTTCATCTAGGTTCCTCGAGTCTCTGTTGCTTCCATGGTGAACTTGGATTTTGTTTTTGTATTTATCAATCAACAACCCACAGACAAGGTTGTTATTCTTTTGGTGAGAAGTTACTTTGTGCCACTTTATATAATTGTGATGGAGTTCTCCAGTCCTCAGCCACCTAACCTCCACCTTTGTACAGCATCAGGAGTTTTCTGGCTGATGTATCCCTGCATGGTTGGTTTGAACGGGGCGGAATCATGAAGCCCTTCAAGGATGCCGCTTTCTCCAAGCTGTGGATAATGCTCTGAAACACCTTGAGACCCCTGCCTGTGCCAGGAGCCATGAGCTGCTGGGATCGTTTGGGCCTTCAACTTTTTAGGAGGGCATACTTGTCACGAAAGGTAGCCTGGTAAGGACTACCTTGAGTTTGCTTTGCGAAGCAAAGGGACTGGCGGGACTAAAGATTGGTAGATCAATGTCTAACCGCCCCCACCCCCCCCCTCCCATGTGATGATTCATTGATAAATCAATTGATTCGACCCCCCCCCCGTCCCCTCCCCTCGTCGCCAGCACTACTAGCATTCTGGACATAAGGTGAAGTCATGCGCTTAGCAGTCACAGCAGTGCGCAATGAGGTCGCGCAATGCGGCTTCGATGCCGCGCGTGCGCACCCGGCAGCCTGACACAGCCCGTACTGCGTTCACAGACCATATTGCTCGACACCAACGAGCATCGATGCAACACAGCCTCTCTGCAAAGCCCTGTGGAGAAACCCCTCGCGTGGCGGAACACCATTCGACTCAGCCTTATACCCTAGCGTGGCGAAATCCTTCCGCATCGTGGAGCACACCCACCATAGCGTGACGTCCATCCCTGGCAGTGCCGGCCGCACCCCTCCAGCACTATCCTTACAAGGGGGTTGGTCACTGCGGCTTCGACGCAACGCGTGCAGGCCTGTAATCCTGACACTAGTGCGTGCAGCTGTGGGACCATAGCTGGTACACATGCGAGCGTTTACGCATTGCGACTTTTACGCGCGCCTGTTTTCACACACCTTTACACAAACGAGCGTCGACGCAACGCAGCCTCTCTGCAGAGCCGTGTGGCGCAATCTGACCGCAACGGTGTTCCTCTTGAGCCTTCTTGTGCTCTCTGGCTTTGTTGGATTCAGCCATGATTGACCAAGGGGCACGTTCCTGAAGCACCGGAGACAGTCCCTCACCAGAAAAGGTCCCGACAGCTACCCGGTCCGTCTCTACCTTTCGTGTTTCCCCGCTCAAGTGTTCTTTTGGTGGCCTGTTGAACCCATGTTAACAAATATTGAAGAATAGATTAGGACTCGACTGTGCTACAGAGCCTGTATTCTCAATATCACCAATTCACAGACAATCATCCGTGGAGACCCGAACCAACCCGTTCCTTTTTCCTTTGAAGATGTTTAGTGCCTCGCAATCCATTTTATTGGTGGGATCAAGGTCTTAGTTGAAGGTGTTTGGCAAGGCTTGTGTTCTTAGCCTTTCTCTTTTACCAATGTTGCATTTGTACCGAATGCTTCATGCAATTCCTTTCCAACGATGCATTGTGACTACGAGTAAGGTGAATAGATGGCAAAGACGCTGCGATCGTTTGACACAGCTTCTAAGACGAATCAAGTTTCCCCCATTGAGCAGTTTCACACTTGACAATACAGCATTCAGACTCCCAGTTGAGGCAGTTGCTCCTCCTCAAGGCTGTCTTACTGAGAAACAGATTGAATATTTGATTGGCTTCTTTGACGGAGATGGGTGTGTGACCATGAACAAAAGCACTGGGCGGATGTCCCTGAAAGTTAGCCAAACCTTAGACTCAGCAACAGTGTTGATGCGCTTGCGTGATAGTCTTGGTGGTGGCATTTATCGCGAAAAGTGCCAAACAGGAGCACACAAAGCAGTGCTGCAGTGGGTAGTTTCCGGCAAAACCATGCAACACGCAGCGCGTGTGCTGTGCCAAGTTCCTTCCATAAAGCATGCGCAGCTCCAGATAGCAGCCACTGGCAACATTGCAATGACAGACAGGAGTGAGGTTGCGCAGAAGTTGACTTTGTTCAAGCAAAAAGGACATACGCCTACAGACTTCCAGTGCTCATGGCCGTACTTTGCTGGATTTTTTGATGCTGAGGGTTCGATTACTCTTCCCAAACGTTCTGTCGGGCTTCAGCTAGAAGTGGGTCAACTTAATGACTTTGTTTTGGAGAAGCTATTCTGTTTTTTACACCTGCAGAAATTGATCAGATGGAGACTTTATAGAAGGGACCATGTTTCCAAGCTTTCCTGCACAGACTTTGCAACTTGTAAGCTGACGCTGAAGCGCCTACTGGAGGCTGGTCTTGACGTCAAACAAAGACAGGCGGCTCTAGCTCTTTCACTCACTGCAGACAATCACGTGCAAGTTCGTGAGGCAAAATCTGAGTTGAATGGCCTCCAAAGCAAGTATGAGCGCCTTGACGATGCCGGCATCGACCGGGCTAAAGAAATTAAACGGATCGGTGCACAATGGCACAGAGCCTCCTCCCAACAAGAACGTGAGTTGCTGCAGGTGAAGCTTGAAGGTCTTCGAGAGGAGCACAAGCTGCAGAAATTGATCACCAAGACCGTACGCCTACGCGGCAGCATTCGTCAATCACTTCGAGAAGGAGGTCTCATCAGGCGGATGTCATGATATGTCATGATGTGACGGAGTAGCATCAGAAGAGTCCACCCAAGGAGAGTAGAGTTGCATGTTATATTCTGCCTCGCATATGGCAGAGGATCAAGGATCGAGTTCGCCCATCCGTCGGACTTCAGAATCCTCGCCTGCATGTAACAATGTGTGAGGCCTTTCAGTTTTGGATGTGTGAGGCATAGCTGTTGTTCTGTTTGGGACATGTTGAACCCCTCAAACTTGTTATTTTCGGGGCAATGTTCGGTCGGTGATCTCGTTTCTTAAATTTTGCCGGAGTCGGAGTAGGTTGGAAGATGTTGGAATTCACACTGAACACCTCGTTTCAGTATTTCTTTGTGCGCCAGGTTTCTTGAGAAGACATGATAGAACAAGCATTTTAGCCGATTTGCACAAGATTTTTTGCACCATTGTTGCTTCTTTCAGACAAAGAAAGTAAATCAATATCTTGCTCAGGCAGTGATGGGAGGGCAGATATTGCAGTATATGTTAACCATGCAGGGGTTGGCCACTAGAGGAGCTATGCCCGCGCGCTGTTTTCTCACCAAAACAGACTCATGGTTTGCAGTCCTTCACCAGGACACAACTGAACAGATAGCTGCAAGATTCTCCCGTGATCCATATTTCTTGGTCTTGACATCCAGCGGAAACAGAATGTGCATTGGTCAAAACTCCTGACAGTCACCTCTGCTTGGAAGAAACATGTTCCATCCCGAACGTGCAGTACCAGAAACAGGGGTAATGCGACAGAGATTTTGGGGCAACTGTTTTTTGTTTGAGAATCTACATGTTTTTGTCGTTGGACAAGGTTTGATTATGTGATTTATTTACTTTTCCTGGTGCACTTGTATTTTCCTGAGAAGACATTTTTGCCACTGGCACTAGAACGTCCTTTCGGCATGAAGCTCAGCCTGAAGGGTGTTCTGTTGGGAGGGTCATGCTTTGATTGCGGATTTTGAAACTCAACATGTCACTACCCGCAGGATCCGCCTGTATGGGTAAACCAAGAAGTTTCGCAAGAGTGCTTTGAGCACACAATCCAGTCAGTCCATGCTTCCCCGGTCCCATCACGGAGGAAACTGACACCGCAGGTCGGCTCCAGGTACTTCCAAGTTAGCGTCCAATTCTCTTTATATACACATTATGCATGCATGCTTTTTGGTATGCAAGTGTCGCTGCATGGGAGGTTGCATGTGGAGCTTTTTTGTCGCCCTTTGGTGTGCCGGCATCGAGTGAGATCAGGAGATGGGAAAGATTTTGTGACCGCTTGACACAGCTTCAACGGCGAATCAAGTTTGCGCCACTGGAAAGCTTCACAGTTGGCGATAGAACATTTCCACTGCCACTTGAAACAACAGGTCCATCATCAGGCTGCCCATGTCAAGAAGAGATTCCGTATTTGAATGGTTTCTTTGATGGCGACGGGTGTGTGAGCATGGAAAAGAGCCATGGAGTGATTCATATGAAGATTTGCCAAAGCTTGGACTCCGCTGCAGTGCTGATGCGGTTCAGGGATTTTCTTGGCGGTGGAATTTATCGGCATAGTGACCGAACTGGGACAAAGGAAGCAACGCTGCAATGGAAAGTTCATGGCACGACCATGCAACACGCGGCAGATGTGCTGTGCAAATTTCCATCCATGCAGCGGGCACAACTCCAGATAGCCGCAGGAGGCGCTGTTGCAAGGGCGGACAGAAGTGATATGATACAGACGCTGAAACAATTGAAGCAGATGGACCATGTGCCTACAACTTTTCAATCTTCGTGGCCTTACTTTGCTGGTTTCTTCGATGCTGAGGGCTCAATCACAGTTGGGGGAACGTATGTTGGGCTTCACCTGCAAGTACATCAAAAGAATCCATTCGTCTTGGAGGAATTGCATTCCTTCCTGCTCAAACACAAGTTGAACAAATGGGCGCTTCATTCGGACAACAGCAGAGGTGCTTGGAAACTCCAGTGCAGACACCGTGCAACTTGCCAGCTGACGCTGCGGCACCTCCTTGATAGTGGCCTTGACCTCAAGAAGAGACAGGCAGACCTAGCTCTTTCGCTCACCGCGGACAATCAGATGCAAGTTCGTGAGGCAATGTTTGAGTTGAATGGCAACCAAAACAAGTACGGGCGCCTTGACGGTCCAGGTATTCAGCGTGCCAAAGAAATTAGTAGTGTCAGGCAACAATTGAAAAAAGCCTCCCAACAAGAACGTGAGTTGCTGGAGGTCAAGCTTGAAGGTCTTCTAGAAGAGCACAAGTTGCAGAACTTGGTCACCAAGTCCCTGCGCCTGCGCGGCAGCATCCGGCAATCACTTCAAGAAGGAGGTTTCATAGTTTGACGACTTGAGGAGTTTCGCTTGCTGTATATGCTGAGGCCGGGAGATGTGAGCACTCCTCAACCTCAAGGTCTTGCTATGCTGCACTCCTGCTGTCCGATGTTTTCAGGACTTCCAAGAGAAGCCATTGCAGGAGTTGGCCGAAAAAGAAGCAGCAGCACTACAGACTCCGGCCACTGCAGTTGGCGATGCCAGTAAGTGCATTGAATGGGGTCTTGGGGAATTGAATTGAACTGTTCATGCTTCTGAGCCTTTTTCCACTGTTTAATGGCCCGCCGCTAGGGAGCACCGCCTTCGCAGACCTGCAGTGTGTGATGATTGTGATGTCAGCGTGTTGGTTTTGTTCGAAAACATTTTCTAGAGATCTCCTCCTCTCTCGTCAAGTCTCGCCGAGGTTTGGAGCAGTCAGGGCGTGTAAAGAGGTCTTTGGAGGACTCATTGCCCGGAGGCCTAAGGCATGCAGCAGGCACTGGCGGAGTTCTCAGTGCTTCAAGCTGACACCTCCAGTGAGGTTAGTGCTGGTCAGGTTTCCTGGATGAACTCAGTTTGGGCAATAAGTAGAAAGAGTGTGCAAGAGTCGTGTGTTGCCGTTGTTTGTTTGGGCCAATTATATAATCATCTCTAGTCCGTCCTGTCAATATACAATTACTGAAAGCTGGTTGCGACAACGGCTCTAGGGCTAAGCCCCCCACCCTGGCTGATTTCACTGACGCTCGCTGAGGCATCGACTATGTTTTTCATTTTCCAAAACAAGAGCATCGCGGCTGCCTGGGGCACCTAGCAGATGCTTGTGCACGAGGGAGAGGGGGTTGTGAGAGACAGCGTCACCATGAATGGAGAAGCAGTGAACAAGATACCGGACTCCTCTCCCCATGCATAGTTTGTTTAGATGTTCCTTCCACGTGTTTTTGTTTGATTCGGGTCCAAGTCCCCTGAATGCCAAAGAAGTCTTAGAATATTTACCTGCGTTATTTTGCCTTTGGATCTTGCGCCGGTAAACCATTTGCAACTCGCATGTCCGGTGTTTCCAGAATGCCACGTCCATCTGTCAGGCCATGCGCGATGGTGCCGCCTCTGGTGTAGCGAGGCTCTGCTACGGCTGGCTCTTGCGTTGATTGGACAAATCAACATAACAATGTTTGTTTGGTGAATTTTATTGGGACATGACATTAAAATTGGCTGGTTGTCCTATTGTTGTCTATGGGATACAGTGGGATTTCTTTTTCTAGTCAGGGTCTCCCTTCTTTGAGACCCCAAGATGGAAGAGACACATCTTCCCTTGAAAGGCTAGTTTCCTCTCTGGACCAGTGGTGGTTAATGGGAGTGCACGTTGAAATTTTCCTGCCTCAATAGGCAGACCTGACAGCTATCGAGTTGTTTTCCTTCTCCCTATCTATTGCAGGATTGACAGGATCACTGGAAACACAGAGGTCCTGTCGACTCCAATATGAAGTATTCCCTACCGTGTTGGAGGCCGCAGATGCAGCTCAGCTGCACCACCACAATGCACGAAACGCGTGGCTTGCGTGCCAGGTACTTCGCAACAGGTCGGCCCCTGGCAAACCAGCACCAGACCTGGAAGGCGAGATCCAAGAGCTGAGAAATTGGTGGATCGAACCAACCAACCCACTAACTAACCGATCCACCAACCAACTAACCAAACATAAGTGTCACATAAGCCAATGTACCAACCAATTCATGCCAATTATATGTGTTTTTGCAGGAGTATGTTTACAAACAATTATATCCTCATCATTCAACAACGAGAAACTTATACAGAAGCGATATCGCTTGATTGACTGCTTGGGTGGGGCCTGCTTGGGTTCTTGACTTGACCCACACAAATAGAGCTTTCGAAAGCTTTGGACAAAATTCTCAACAGGTGGTCTGCACAGTTGTGCTTGTAGGGTTTGATCGAAAGAGACAGCGTGTGCTTTTTGGCAAATGATGCCAAAGCTGCACACAAACCGTAATCGAGCATGGTCGTCCTGTTTCGTGTGAGTTTGAACCCAGCTTGTGTCTACTGGGCGATACTAGAGAAGTAAAGACAAGAACTGTCAAGTACTCCTTACACACTGCACTGCAACCATTCAGAAGTGCTGCTCCTGCTCACTGCTCTTGACAGAGAATCACCCAAGAGCTCCTTAATGACACTTAATTAGACAGAAGGTCCAAAAAAGTCCTATAGGGTAGTGTTGTTCAGGTTGTTCTTCCATGAAGTTTAAAGTTTCCTGCCGAGCAGTTGCTGGTCTGGCCAGGACAGCTACATCACTTATTGGAAATCCCATTATTCCCCGGCCATTCGCGGGGCGCCCAGACGTGTTCCAAGATGTACTTTTCCACGAGCCATGCTGAGATATCCACCTCCATTCTTTTCGGGTGGTCATGCCAGGCATGTCACCACCAACCTCCGAATGTCTTCATGTCGTTCCATTGTTGCTGCTTTTCCAAAAGAATATCTTAGACATTGCTATAGTGCCATAGTGCCCTTCCTTTTGTCTCCTTGTGTGTCATTGCACATCGAGAGGACTTCCAAAAACGTCACCAAACGCCCCATCAATCATCACCGGCCTCTGTCTGGGTCTCCTCGCCCAGCTGAGGTCTCATGGTTCTTTATATCGTCTACAACTTGTTAGCGAGCCAGACCTTCCAGGCACCTTTTCGGCGGGGACGAAGAGGTTGATGGACGTGGATTGGGGGAGCAGAATTGTTCCACAGAAATGGCTTGGGGTTAGGTATATCCCACAAGAAGTAACAGTACATGATGATGATGAGGAGGAGGATTTATATCATTGGATCTTATTGGTCTATAGTATTTCGTAGATATGGTCTAGTCCACTGGCTAGAGTTCTCACTTTGAGTTGCTGTTTGCCCCCTATAAGTGTTCCTGTGTCACTCTGCCAATGATCGCAGGTGTCACCATGCCATATTCTAACATTGGTGATCAGGCACACGTAGATGAAGAGTGGACTTAGTTACGACAGTTATGACTCACGTTTTTCCAAGATTTTCCATTGAAGGGGAACACTTGCAAAAATGGCCAGGTTGCCAGGTGCTATCAAAAAGCTGGATGGCTGACGCTTCTTCTTCGGATCAATCACATGTGTTGGATGCACATTGAACGCTGCGGTGTATCACAGGTCCTGCACCGTCCGTTCTTTTGGTAGACTCATCATTTAGTTGACAGAGCATATGAGACTCTGAGAGCCAGTCTGGCTCACCACAGATGAAAAAGCAGAAGGATTATGGTTCCATCAGAACTTCCAACCACACCCCACTTCTACCAAACCACCCAACTCCACTGTGGGAAATCCGGACTGCATTGATGGTATACCAGTGCCCCGAAGCCGAACATGCTCGGAAGGGTCGGCTTCCCATGTTCTTGGTGGTGGTCTCCTTCATCTCGTGGGCCTGGCAGCCCAGATTGCTCCCCAGTCCGTCGACCTCCCAGTGGAGACGGTTGAGGAGTCGCTGGCGGGCTTCGCGAGCCCAACGTCCCAATGGAAAGACATGGAAGAACAACGATTTTTTCGATCCGGGTGGAGGGGGCAAGCTCACTTTGATGTATGTTACTTAAATGGATGTTCAAAGGCTAGACTCCTCAACCACATCACGCGGTGGCGGTAAGTATGTTTGCTTTTTGCCAATTGTGTCACGATATGGGCCTTTCCCCGGTCTTACACTCTTTTCAACGTAGCCTATTTCAGAGAAACCAAAAGTAAAACATTTTGAAAGCAATGAGATTGCATAACCAGCGACCTCATTAGTTTGCTGGTCAAACTGAACTCTTCTTGGAACAATTGCCAGGAACCACCGAAAGCTTCACCTATAGTTTGGTTTGGTCATCCAACAAATCTCTGCTTCGGAAGCCTTCGGAAGCCTTCCAAACCAGCCCTCCTCACCGGTCCCAGAGTTGGGGTTCCTCCGAAGCGGCGAGCTCGACCCAGGTCGTGACGCCCGTGATCTTTGCACCGTTGCCGCGGTGCGAGCTCATCGAACAGGAGCGGATTCTGCTCATCGTTGTTGAGCGCGCGCGCGCACCTTTTGGTGTGAGGTTGTTTGCTCGCAGATGTGCCGGGAGTTGGTGGATAGAACAGGTTAGAAATAAGTAGGCCAGGAAGTGGAGCGAACTGTCTTGATATGTTTTGATGGTTCCTTGAACCATCTTGATTCCGGCTGCATGCTACATCATGCTACCAAAGCTTCCAAGCAAAGCCGATCTCTTTCAGCGCCGAGCCAAAACGGTAGGATTTGAGAGAGTTCAACGGCTTCATCAATGGCCGCTCGGCGGAATGCAGCGATTGAGGCTGAAGAAGGAAAAGGGCAACAGCTAGGCTAAGCCTGCTTTTTCTTGCGCGCGTTCCAAGAGTATGTAAGACTGTAAAACCAACTGGCCTGAGTGTTGTTCACTAGAGTCTTTGACTTGGAGATCATTGATTATAGACGGCCCACCATGAAGATCAAGAAGCAAAGTTGCTTCAAACGAGAGGAGTCTTTGCATGGATTTGGCCTGCGTATTTGATATAAACCTCTCGCAGACAGGCAACGTGTGTAACAGCCAAAGATAGTATTTCACACCAGCGTTGGCGCCACACAAATCTCATAGAGAGCTATGTGGTCACCTTGGGAGTTTGAAGTTGACCTAAATTAAAAAGAAAACAACATTTACCCCGGATGTTGAGGAATCTATATTGTATTGACGCAGACGGGAATTGTGCTTTTAAAGATGTTCATGTCAGGTTTCATGCTGCTCAGACCACAGACCACTGACTTTGCTTTATCACTTAGGCCGAGCAGGGATGTCAGAGAAAGAGCTACCAGAAGTGGTCGAGCGAGGACAAAGGCAGCCTCTGGGTTTGTTTTGGATTGATGAGCAATGTATTAGTTATAGATTATGTACTTGAGTCAAAGGACAAGGCTGGATGGAATATGACGATATGCATTTTAGCATGCTCATTCCTTGCCCAGTGGTCAGCAAGCAGCCAAGCACAGACAGAAGTGGAACACTGATTACTGGACCAAGCAAATCTTAGCTTTTGCTGCACAAGTGTTTGATCAACAATGACAAAGACAACTGCGACAACGACAACCACAACACAACAACAACGCTGACGGTTGATTTAGAACAATCCTGGCAGTGTAAGGGGAGTTGTGAATCAAACAATATGCAACTACTCTCCTGTGCCTTTGGGGTACGCCGAAGACTTGTTCGGCTCGCGGTTGTGTCTTGAAGTTTTCGACCAACCATGGGCTCCTTTGTCAATCGTTTTGAATGGCGTTTGGACCAAACAATGTAGAACAATCAAAAGAGATCTCTTTTTGGACCAACAATGCTTTGAACGGCTTTGAATGGCTTGTTTTTCGACCTCAAAAAAGCGATCTCTTGGGACTTACCCTTTTCCGGATTCTTCAGATCTCAAATGCATGTGATTCTACCACTTTTGGGATTCTGCGACCGTTGTTGTCTCCAGAGCGACGGGTTCTCGCTGCCAGGGGCCGAGCACGGACCATCTTTGAGTGTGGCTTGGTGGACTCGGTCAGCTATTGGACAAAGATGTGCCAAAGCCCAGAGGGACAGATGGGACAAAGAAGCATGAGGAGAAAGAACATGGGAACACCCATGGTTTTGGGTCAATCTCGGCCGGCATGGAGGTTTCGTTATGATTTTCAGTTGTTGTTTTTGTACATCTTCGGATGGTTTTGATTTGGCTATGGAAGATGTTCGGAATGATAGTGACCGAGTGAACTGAGGCTGAGTTTTGCTTAATAAGAAAGGAGCAAGCTGCCGGCTTTGATAGAACATGTCTCCCAGAGCTTTGCCTAGCAGAAAAGATCGGAATCCCAATGAACATTCGCTCTTGTGTAAGTTTCAACTGTGTGATGTTTGGGCCTTTTTGGATACAGTAGATGTTGCTACCGGAGTGGAGTCCAATTGCCTTTTGAAGGAATTGAGCTGTGGTTGCACAAACGAAAGGTTTCTCACCCGTGAAATTGAGAATCAAATTCCATGCGAACCTGTGAAATTTCATGTGCAACTCTTTCCAGTATTCAACCGCCATCCACTGCTAACTGCTCATGTTACTCATGTGCTATGTGCTACATATAGTGCTACACGTCACAAATGGGCATTTGTGCGATTTGTGGACTGAGGCCAATCATTGTCCTGCTTTTCAACCTCTTAAGCAGGCCAAGCTGTGCCACGCTGTCTTTGAATTGCAGAAATCACCAACCGACTGAGTTTCAGTCAATTTTTTCCTATGAATCAATTCTATCATTTAGTTGTTTGTACCGGGGTTCCTTCCTAATGAGCACCCAAAACCGATAGGTTTGTTCTGAAGTGACCAATATGTTCACCAAGCTGGTTCTCACAGAGCAAGAAGCTTGCGCAGAAGAAGGAGTAGCACCATAGCTGGAAGGGGCGCAGCCGCACCAGACAGATGAACTTTGGGTCAGAGAGATCTGGTAACGCGCCACCAGTCAACACCAGTGAACCATCCAAACGTTCGCACGAGAGCCACATGAGCTCGAAAGCCCAAGTGCTTTTGGATTCGTTTTCAGACGTTCAGAGGTCATCAGTCGTCATCCTCCATCTCAGCTTGCGATGTTGAACTCATCACATGCAAGATGTTCAGTAGCCAAGATATCCCAAGATGATCAAGATGTTTAATGTTCCCTGTTCCTCAAGCCAATCCAAGATGTGCTATCTTCCTTTATGATCCTATGCCGCACGTGCTTTGTCTAGTGACTAGTGGACTTCATGTCTGGAGATTGGGATCCCTTGCACTCACCGTGGATCCCATGCAGCTGGAAAGGACATATCAGAAGAAGGACATTTGAAGGACATGTTCTGAGTTTGAGGTAATTGAAGATATCCATGGATGGACATGCTCAACAAAGATGGTCACACAGTTCTGAATGGTCATTTCAGGTAACTGAAGATATCCATGTTCTGAATTTGCTCAACACTGGATGCTTCTGTTACCTGAAATCATCCAACGGCTCCGGGTACTCATGAACCTCCATTGGGCACGACGATCCTTTGATGTTTAGCAACATGTTGATCATCCGCCCCTCATGACCACAGGTTGCTCCTGTGCATGGCCCTGGCGCAGGGATGCCAAAGAAGGGGGTTGGATTTCACAGGTTGCTCCTGCGCACTCCAAAAGAACCCTCAACCCTGCTGTACCTGAGAGCTGGACTCACTTGTCACTTCCTGCCTGGAAGGTGTTTGGAATGTACTGAAGCATGAAAAGAAAGGGAGGACTCTGATAGTGCACACTGAGTTCCACGTCCCAAGTTCGTAGCATGAGATGAGGGTGACCTTTCCCACAATTCCTTACTGGTACATACTAGAACAACAAACTATGAGCTGAACAAACTTTAACGACACCTTGAAGAAATGTTTCATAGGAGATGTAGTCACTTGTTCAGGAACCCACCCTTCTCACCGCGGTTCTCCATCAATCAAGATCGTCAATCTTGAAATCATGGATGCGGTCAGTTCTCTTGGTGTGCCAAGTAAAGTATATGAACGAGCCTGCATGAGCGGTATAAGCATCCTTTTGTGGCCAAAGAGGTCTTGTCCTGGCGAGAACAAACAGGTCTTACATGTATTCTAGGATGTTTTGGGTGTACAAAACCAATGGAAGTTCTGGGGTCCAAATGTTGAAAACAAGCAAATACTGCCGCTTGCGGTGCGCAACACCTTGACAAAGACGGGTGTCAGTACTGGAACATTCTTCCTGCACTTAGCTAGCCCTACACTTCCAACTACCTTCGTTTTGAAGGTGTGACTAGGGTGAGTTTTAGGAGGGTCAACCACTATGTAAATGAGATGAAGATACGTAGGTGTCAGAACAAGTCGAACAAATCTCCCTTCTAACTCTTGTTTTTCAACACCAGTCTGTTAAGAAAAACACAACCCTTCGCTCCTTCCGGAGCCCGCGTTGAGGCTAGCGCTACCGGCGGAAATCATTGATTTCCTTTGGGTCGCTCGGAGCGCACCGAGCGGAGCCCACAGGTTCAGGGAGGTATGGAGAGATAGAGAGAGAGAGAGAGAGCGCGAGCAGAGCCACCCATTTGGTGATCCGATTTCAGTTTCTTTCATATACTGTACTAATTGCAACCATGTGTTTGTTACAGCACCATCTACTGAGCCTTCACAGTAGAACACAGAGACGGCTGCCTAGACTCGTAGACTCTTGATTGTATTTCACCCCCTCCATATTGAAGAGGTTCGTCAAGCCATGTCTACTTCTTTTGTAGACATTGTAGACTCTTGGTATCCCGTATGAAGAAGTTCTTCATTCCATGTCTCGGGGGCTTATTAATCAATGGCCCAAGTGACTCCCTAAAAAGTGATGGATTGCACTGTACCTGGCCAAGGGGCATTAGCGCTGAACATGGTGTTTGAAACCACAAACCTACCTACTCTGCAGCCACCATAGTTCATGAGTAACTTGTGTGTGTCCCTTTTCATTGGTTGTGAGTTTTCTTCTGGGCCCGTTGCCAGGGTTGAGTGTGTTCATTTACTGCTCCGAGACACTGCACATGGCTGAGCAGCCAGCAAGCAATTTGAGTTGCCCTTCATATCATGCCGCTGGAGAGATCAACTGCTTCGACCCGGCAGAGAGAACTTCACTAGGCTTCGCCTCAGACACGACCAGCATGTGAACCTGCGCGGACACTCGGGTGTCAGTAGTTAACCGAGTATAGGTGTTCCAGTTGAGGGTTTGTGTCCAAGAAGTTCGCTCCAAAACATCCGGCTCAGTGTTCCTCCACGAACCATGATTCTCATCAAGTACCAGCAAATCCGCCTTTGTTGAAGGCACGACCTCTTCCCTTGAACCCAAAGGGCACCACCCCCCCCCCCCCCCCCCCCCACCAATTCCCCGCATGCCGCGCGCCGCCCCGGCGCCGCCCGGCGCTGCGCCGCGGCGCATGTCGAAGCCGGGCCGCCGCGACGGGCACGATGGCGCTGCCGGCGGAGCTGGCGCAGCTGGCGACGGAGCTGGCGCCCTTTGTCCATCCGGCGTTGGTGCGCAGGGCCTGTGCAGACGACTCCTGGCGATCGATAGGTGTGGTGAGAAGAGTGTCGAGCATGGTCATGAAATTGAGGGGGCAATTATCTTGGGAGATGATGGGGAAAAGATGAATGTGTAAATTTAAAGATGGGTGGGAAAATATGTTAAGCATGTATAGAGCGTTCGGAGTGTTAATGTATTTGGGTGATGTTTCTGGGGATGATTGAGGATGTTTCTGGGGAAGTGCGGAATGTGCAAAAGAAGTGCAAGATGGGAGTCATTGATCAGTTTTGTTGCTATGTGACTTGATGATGACGATGATGATGATGATGATGATGATGATGATGATTTTGTTCCCATGTTGGGTAAAAACCAATAAGGGATGGACCAACATTGAGAAGGCCTGGTGGTGGGTGAGCATGACATTCATGCCCATCTGACTTTCAGTGCTTCCTTAACCTTGCATGTTTCACTTTGACTCACATTCTATCTATGGAAGTAGAAATTGGATGGAAATGGTCCCTTGGAATAGGATATTCCTCTTCAATCAGGAGGTGGAGTGATCTGCTCGTTGAACATAAAACACCACGGAAGTGGAACACCATTTGTTTGGTATTCAAAACATGGTCATCCGAGGATCCAAGGGCCCATGAAGATTCCAGGGAGTGTCTTGCTTTAGAACCCTAGAGGTCAACGACCTCTTTTGACTGGAGTTGGTCAATCCAGAAACGCTACTCAATTTTGGTTCTCAGGCCCAGGCCTTACGGGGTCAAACTGCACCTGTATAGGGAATGACTCAGTCATTCAGACCCACGGCTGGGACCTTCCGAGGACCGCCGTGGCCTGGGCGTCTTCGTCACGCAGCCGCTGCCGCGGGGCGAGCTGCTGCTGGCCGCCCGGCCGCTGGCCGCGGTGCGCGTTCGGGGACGGGACGAGGACGTGGTGGAGCGGCTGGCAGAGCTGATCTTGGAGCGTGGCCCGGAAGCGGTGAAGAGACGGAGGGGTTGGGGTGAAGAGTGCGAATGGGGTGGTGCAGAATTTTGTGTGTAATTGATGGTCTCAGTATTATATGTGTTTCACACATGTTTTGCAACAATATGTGCGGGCAATAATCCTGCATTGCGAAGTAGATTCAATTTAAATGTTCAGATGTTCCACGGAGACAGAGAAACTGGGCAACACGATGGACGTCCTCTCGGGACGTCTCGGGATGCAGTTTCACAGTGACAGGGCTTCAAGCTAGTGCAAGGTTTCTCCAGCAATAGCCATGGCTTTCATGTCTGGAGCATGGAATCAGCACTTTGCAAGTAAATTGCAAAATCATGCAACGACTTGTCCTCTTGTCATGTGAAATGGACAGGCACTTCTGACGGATGGTGAAGATTAGGATCCTGTTGTTTACACTGGTATACTTACTCTTTTGTGGCCATTTCAATACAACCCTTAGGTCGCCACATTACTTGCTTCCGCTTCGTCCGACCCCAAAACGGATGGCATGTTCCCTATAGCGAGGCTTGGAAGATCCCAACTTTGCCGAGACCTTTTGGAGTCTCAGCACTGGCGACCCCACCGAGCGGCCGTCCCAGCGTCCCAAGCGGCCGCGCCTCGGCGAGCAGCACGAGCGGCGCGGGCAAGTGCTGCGGATCATCGCGGCGAACGCGCGGGGGTGGCCGAGCGAGGA